CTCCTGTAGTACCACATCAGTAAGGTGTCTGAGTCGGAGCCCCAGGCGCTGAGCTCCAGTTCAGCCATGGACGACCTGGAGTCTGCCCTGCAGTCCCTGGAGGTCAAGATGGAGGGAGAGAGCAGCTCCGCCTCCGAGATGCTGGTCAGACATGTTGAATTTACTTGTGTGTCACTGAGAGTCAGTTTTATTTTTTCAACATGTCAAAACATAGAAAGAATGTTAACAATTCACAAAACAATACATTTAATAAGAAGGCAAGAGAAGAGTATTTTGTTTACTGATGGAAAAAACATCTTTGTCTTTCATCCAGGAAAACATGACTGCACCAGAACTCAATGACTATCTGAAGATATTCAGGTGAGAGACATTTTCAAACATCCATTGGCATAGCCTTGATAGGTTTTTTTTGTTTCTGTGGATTTTTTTAATCTCTATCACTTAACTCCCTTACTGCCCTGCCATAAAATGTGTTTTATCTTTCAATTCTCGCCACAATGAAAAAAAAGTTAACAACTAAACAAAGCACATAACAATTGCTATGTTAACTGCACTCCCATGTGTGATCACTAGCCCAAAAGGGTATTTTCACAGTACATTAGAACTGAAATAAACTGCAGGCATGGTGTTTAAAATAAAGTTGTCAGTATCATTTCCCCAACAGGGGACACGATAAATTACCAGGTCTTCGGAGGATAACAGATGTTTGCCTCTTTTGTCTTAGATGTGATGTGTGTGTTAAAATAGAGTGAAAACATAGTTGATTTGTTTTCCTTTTTAATCGGTGTCAGTACATAGCCTGAGCAATGTGTTTGTTTGTTTCAGGCCAAAGAGGCTGACTCTTAAAGGATATAAGCAGTACTGGTTCAAGTTCCAGGATACCTCCATCTCTTATTTCAAGAGCAAAGAGGAGAGCATTGGAGAGCCCATTCAACAGATTAACCTCAAAGGTACTGAATATCTAATTGTATTTTATATTTTTAGGATATGTTGTTGCTATGTTACCAATAATGTGTCATTAGTTATCAATATGTATCTAAAGATTAGTGGCTGATTAAGTAGCAGACATACTTTAGCAATCCGTTTATCCACCTCTTTGTAACATCACTGCTTATCAACATCAACACATAAACGTACACAGAACTTTCCACCTATGATAAAAAGTGAAGGTGCTTCTCTCAAGTCTGTTTTCATCCTCCATCTGTGAAAAGTGAATTAGGTTATCCTATAAATACAGAAAAATGAACTGCGAGTATGACTCAGCAGGTTCAGGCGTGGGCAGTAAACTCGAGAAGTCTGACCAAGTGGTCGGGTTCAATTCTATTTCAATCCCATAAATGTCACATTTCAGAATTGGTCAGTGGTTTGATATTTATCCTGCATACAGGATGTGAGGTGGCTCCGGACGTTAACGTGACAGCCCAGAAGTTCTTAATTAGACTCCTGATACCAGCGCCTGAGGGCATGAACGAGGTCTATCTGCGCTGTGAAAATGTAAGGACACACACACACACACACACAAACACAAACATCATTGAATTTTAAAATGTGCCATACAGTACTTTAAATTAGTAATAAAAAAATGTGATGGGCGAAATATACTTTGGCGGCCTACCTTGGCGGCGCCCAAGTAAAGTCTATGTGTGGGAAACCCTGGGGTAATCCCTGACATTGTGACAATAATCGAATTGACAATTTTTTCGAAAGTTATCTTGTCTCATACTTAATCCTAATGATATGTAATCTGTCACTCCCCACCTTACTCTCTCTCTGCGGTTGTCTCTCGCCCTCCAGGAGCAGCAGTATGCTCAGTGGATGGCTGGGTGTCGACTGGCCTCCAAAGGCAAAAGTCTGGCTGACAGCAGTTTCCAGAGTGAGATCCAGAGCATCCGCTCCTTCCTGGCTATGCAGAAGACCAGCTCAGGTTCCCAGGGCAACGCAAATGCTAACGATGAAAGCATCAATCCTCACAGTCTGGTGTCGCCACGCTACCATAAGAAATACAAAGCCAAACAGGTACAGGAGAAGTGGAACTTCGATGTAGGCTCAAAAAAGAAAGAGTAAATGTAATACTCTCATTTTATCAGCAGGTAGCTACAGCTAAGTACTTTATTCGATCACACCAATCCATCATTTATAAATCTAATATACTGAATGACAGTACTTTTCCTCTAAAATGATAATATGTATAAAAATGACACACCAAGTGCTAATTTTTATTCTTGAAGAAAAAACGATTTACCTCCCTGGTAAAGGAATAATCAAATTGAAGTTAATGGGGCAGAGTTAAAACCACAGCAAAACGTTGCTAATTAATAAACACATGCCTTTTCTCTCTTTTATTGTGAAAGTGTTTTAAAAGTAACGGTTTAACGGAAATGTATGTTTGGTTATCATGGTGTGAATAAATGTAACTTAAATGATACTGCATAAGTTGTGTGGAGTTTGTAAACTGATGTAGTCCTTTAATTTCTGGACAGCAGAACAGTGATTTTGCACAATTGAGCTAATTGAACTATTATGCAGCTGAAACTACTGCCCATTGTGTTTATGAGGCAGCAGAAATATACTAACGTCTGACCCTTTGCCCTGTGCCTGCTGCTCCAGCTGACTCCTCGTATCCTGGATGCATACCAGAACGTGGCTCAGCTCTCACTGACAGATGCAGTGATGCGCTTCCTGCAGATCTGGCAAGCCCTGCCAGACTTCGGGCTCTCATACGTCGTTGTCAGGTAAAGTTCAATCAGAATTTATGAAATGCCTGTTAGCATCAATTTAGGACCATGAAGGCACAACATAAAGCAATTACTTACATTCCTCAGTCTTTCTTTAACAGAACAGCACTCACAAGCCATGATAAATACACAATTTAAAACAACATTTAACAGCAAGAAAATAAAGCCAACTAAAATCTAAAAACTTCCATTGGTATAAATTAAGATTTAAACTCCTGTCTAAAAATTATAGGAACAGTGTGCTCGTCACTAGGCTCAAGTCACTATCAATAATAGTATTGTCAATTTGATTGAAAGGGTTGAAAACACATCAATGATCTAGCAAGTTATTGAATTGTATTGAATTGAATTGAGGATTAAAGTTTGACCTTTGCATCAACAGTTTAGATTTTGAGTGAAAAGAAGATTAAGATGTTTTTTCTAAATAGGTTTAAGGGCAGTCGTAAGGACGAGGTACTGGGCATTGCTCCCAACCGTCTGATCCGTATCGACCTGGCTGTGGGGGATGTGGTGAAGACCTGGCGCTACAACAACATGAAGCAGTGGAATGTCAACTGGGACATACGACAGGTGACAATATAGCTTTGATCCACCTTCTGTCTGCAGTATGCACAATCTCACACTTTGGTTTCCAGGGAATGTGTGCTACTGAATTAGCTAAACAGACCTTACAAAAGTTTATTATTTGGATATTTTCCCACTAAGGTTTCCTATGTGTGGTTTAACTGCTCAAAGGGTATCTTTGAAAAATCGTGCCTATTGTGATTTTTGTAATAACTTCACACAAGGTCAAATTAATTTAAGGCAGAACTTGAGAAATCAAATATCAAACTTGATTCCCAGTTTTCCACAAAATATTCCTTAAATCCTGCTGCCGTTGTTTGAAAGTGAACTCATGAACATTACCCGTAAGAGCAACAGTTGGGTAATTTCCCTAAAATAAATGTAAAAAATCTGCCTGCATATTGAAGGAATCTTATATCTACTTTTTCTTTTATATACTCTATATGTTTCTGACTCCTCTAGGTGGCCATAGAGTTTGAAGGCAACATCAACATTGCTTTCGCCTGCGTGACCGCCGACTGCAAAATTGTTCACGAGTTTATTGGAGGCTACATTTTCATGTCGACACGCAGTCGTTCGAAGAGTGACACGCTCAATGAAGAGCTTTTCTACAAGCTGACTGGTGGCCACGAAGCTCTCTAACTAAAACACAAAAATAATCCCACATAAGGTCTTCTGTGTGCCTCAACAGAAGGACACATTATGGAATAGAAAAAAACATAAAAACGGTCAAAGATAATTCTAAATAAGTTTCTGATCTTGTGTCTATCAGTCTATCCTTTTATATATCCTATGTTATACACATTCACAGATATAGTGGATGGACAACATGTTCAGACAGTTCAAGACTCAAGGTGTTTCCCATGCTGACTCTTAACTTCAGGATGGACTGTTGCTGGTTCAAACTGCTTTGGACATCAGAACCAGTCTCAGCAGGCTTGAAAACCAAACTAATGAAAATGTAAAATTAACCGTTGCATCAGCTAGCAAATAGTTTCCTGTTTCGATTCGCAGCGTCCAGACTTCCTTTTCGCTCAGGATGGAAATCCTTGCTTTGTAAAGAGCTGCAGTCTTATTGCCAGCAGCCACAATATCACTGCCAATAATTAAAACAAGGCGTAGAAAAACACATGCCAATAGTCATTGTTTTCACTAATAAACATTTATTCAAGTAAATACAGCAATTCATTTTTCATTCTGTGTTGTCTTTACTCCTCATGGTTGCAGCTTATCGGGGTAATTTCTGCTGTTTCTTCCACAGGAAGCTTCTAACCATTTATCTCGCCTAACATGCTGTGTGTGTGTTCATATCTCACAAGACTGTTACAGCTGTCCGTTACATTAAACCACAGTGTCTGTATCCTCTGCTTATCCATATTTAGTCAAGGGACAAACCACACTTATAAAATGTCTTCAAAATACATTTAAAAAGGTAGAGCTGGATGTTGCAAGCAGTCTGTTTTTAACTAGTGTTACATTTCCAAACTGTCCTAAACCTGCCCTGATCCTTTGAATGATGAAACTAAAATCAAAAGTTTTACAATTTTGTCCGTTTAGGATGATTTCTCCATGGATTGTCCTATTGCTAATGAAAATAAGCTTATTGGATGCTAGTATGCTCCTGCTAAGCAACATATGTTACCAAGGGAACTGGGATAAGAATCAAACAAACCATGGTTATTGCTCATGCTCTTATTGTTATTATGTTATGTTATTATGTTGCATTGTTGGAGAAGCCTGTGACATAAGATTTTCAACTGCATAATTACTCTGTAGCTATGTCAGATTGACAATAAAGAACCTTGAACCTTGAACCTTGTGAGTCTTGCTGTGGCCAATGACAGAGCAGTATCCTATGATGCTACTGCAGTGGTATGATACTCCCTGTAACACAGGAGGAAAGTGACTTTAGTGAAGGGAATGACCCTCGCACAAAGTTTTCAAATAATCAAATGAAATGTGTTTGGTGAAATGTGGTACTTTTTCTTACTTGTAGGTCTCAGTCTTAAGGCACGGATGAAGTACTTAGGTATTAGTTTTCCCTCATCGTCCCCTGCAGTCAGCAGCACACCGTTATCTGACCAGAAAAACTCAATACCGTCTGCGTATACATACATAAAACACATGTAAGAGGGTTTATTGACAAAACATAAAGACAACATCAAGCATAGTGGTTACTAGCAATCATTAGTGGTGGAGCTTACCAGCAAGAGCTTTGGGAACGTCAATATACACAGCAAGATCACAGTCTTCCCTCATTCCTAGTGGGGAAATTAAGATTGAGATTAAGATACACCTTCATTGATCCAGAGCGAGAAAATACAGGTGTTGCAGCAATACAAGGACAGAAAACCTATAAGTATCTTATAGAAAGTAACATGAATAAATAATATCAGGTAAAAAGGCTTAAATAAGAATAGAATAAAAATAAACAAGAAAATGTGTAGACCAATTACATAATAAACTGACAGTGGTATGATTGATACCAAAGTTTACGTGTGTGTACTAATAGGTTAAGCAAGGCAATAAAAGCTCCGGAAAGAATGAAGAGACCACTCAAAATGTTTCTTAAATCTCAATCTCTACATGTATGGCAGCCATTCCATTCAGTGTCTGTTGAATTCCAACACAGAGAAATGTTCAACAAAAAAGAAACAAAAAAAATGTTTACTCAAACACATATCTATATATAATAATAAAACCAGAGAAACTGATAATGCTGCAGTGGTCTTTTAATTTTTTTCAGAGCTATATTTGATATGATTAGGGAATGGTACTCAGCATTTGTCTGAATAAATGTTATAACATATAAGTCAATTTAATATAAAATAGTATCATGTGGTTTAGAAACTGTAGAACTTATTTATCTCAATGTTCAGATGGGTTTCTTTCTGTCACACAGACAACCATACACCCACACGTGCACACACACACACACACACACACACATTGTTTACCGCTGATGACCCCTTCCTCCTCAGGCAGGCCGGGGGCCAGGTGGATGTGTGTCCTCCTCATGCGGCTCAGGCCCTGCTGCTGGATGGAGCTCCACTTGCGGAGGTAGGTGCCATGAACTGCCTCAGCGGGGCAGTCTGGAGAACCAGCCAGGACCGGTTTCAGCTCCAAATCCATTACCTGCCCACAGCAATGCAACCAGTGTTAACACACAATACAAAAATGTGACCAGATCAAGTTCTAATGTTCAGAAACAACAACATTTGGCAAATTGAATCATTTTAGATGGCAGTCCAAGGCCAATGAGGGTTTGTATACATCTCATGTTCTGCTGACATGTTAATCTTTGCAACAAACAAGAAAAATATAACATAATCAAACAGAGTAAAATGTAATTAAAGTGAAGATGAATTTTAGCAACAGAGGTAGTGCTATTCTCCAATGTCTTTTTGAACAATTACCTAACCTGATTTTATAGGATTCTAATTATATATTTCCTGTTAGGCTGTCAGAGGACTAACAGCATCTGTCATCTGAAAATTAGATTTACTTTTTTATTTTGAAGGTGAAAATTGGTTTAAAACATTTGTATGCACTCTGTGGAACAAAATGGAATTGTGTTTTAAGCTGTTAAGGGATCTCCCAGAGTTAATTTCCCATCTAAAGAAAGTACCTTGAATGTATTGAAGTTGAAGTTAGGTGGTCCACTAAATCTATCTAAAAGCAATTCTGGTGTAAATTGAATATTGATTAATTCAGCATTTACCCAGGGGGATAGAATATCGTAGCATGCTGGTTTGCTGATTAAATTAAAAAAGCCCCATACTTGTACTGAATGCCCCTGACTGGCTCGAATTTGGAGCCGGCCGTCCTCCAGCCGATGAAGTTTAAAGCGCTGCTTGTCATTTGTGGCCACAACTCTTTCAACGTCTTCCAGTGAGTATGAGCTGAACTGCGTGTGAGCCAGGAGATCCTCCACAAACATGAAGCCATCTACGAGGGTCAGAGTTGAGGATAAGGAACTTTACTATGGCTCTAAATCCAAATGGATAATACATGTAAAGCATGTGTGATAAAAACTATTAGCGGGCAGGATTTATGGGCATGATTGAATTCATTATAAAATTAAGCATCAAATATAGTGACAACTGTCACATTTTTAAACAAGTCTTTGTTCAGAATTCCTGTTTATGATGTCTGTTTGAATCATGCTGAGAGAAAAATATAATCCAAAAACAAAGATGATTATAGGTATTTGTTTTTAAAATGCTGAATGGAAAAATACATCTTAGGTTCTCATTTGATATATTAAAGTTGAAGGGACACAGCTCACCTGAACTTATTTGAAGATCCATCTTGTTGGCTCCATGGCGAAGAGCATAGGACAAGGATTTAGACAGGCGAACATCTCTGCCCTGGTAGGGGACAAGGCATCAGTCAGAGCTAAGGCTCCAGCTAGTTTTAGGTAGTGTAATCAGATTGCCCAACAAGTTACTAATCAACCCAGGTTACATTTAAAAAAAAAAAGGGCAATTCAATATAGTTACACAGGCAATAATTTATTAACAACATGTGGCCTTTGAAAAGCAGGAACACAACTGGAACACACGTGTTGCTGTGTCTATTTCATTAGGACAAGGTGCGATTATTCAACACACACACACACACACACACACACACACACACACACACACACACACACACACACACACACACACACACACACACACACACACACACACACACACACACACACACACACACACACACACACACACACACACACACACACACACACACACACACACACACACACACACACACACACACACACACACACACAACACACCACACCACCACACACACACACACACACACACACGTAAATATAGGACGTTTAAATATAGGACCTTGACTTTACCATAACTAACCATTCATCCTGACTGCTATGACACCCAATACCACGAGTCAGAAACCAGTCCCTCAACTGTTAAGAGGTCAATATCCCAATGTATAGGGCTTCAATCTCTCACCTCTCCCCCACGATTTCCTCTCCTTCCTCTGCCTCCTCTGCCTGCTTTTCTTCCGCCTCCTACACTTCCACTACTGTCCATTTAAATGCAGTAAGCTAAGATATTCAGACCATTACTCGTAATTTTACACAGGATCACACTCGTTGTCAGTAAACTCATGTAAACAAACCGTGCAGCTTCCCACTTCCTGTTCTTGTCTTTATTCGCTTCTAGGTGCCGCTGTGGCGGCCGGGCGGAGCTCCGGTGTCCCGGCGGCACCACAGAAGAAGAAAGCTGCATTTTGTCCTGGAAGAAAACATCAGACAGCAGCTGCAGGTAAAACAATATTCATAATATCATCGTTAAAAAAAAACACAACCCCAAATGCATGCTGTCATTTTACGGTAACTTATACCTCATGATGATATAACTCAAAACAAAAACACTGCGGTTGCTGTGACTACCGGTGCTGGATTTCATACAGAGGTTGGGCTTAGTTGGCTAACTAATGTTAGCATAGTTCAGCTAGAGCTGGATAATATTGCCATTTGGTAAAATATGGGGTTTCTATGATTCATTTTGTGCTGTTTGCCATATTCGTTTTTCTCAACTGCATGCCATTGGCTGTCGTCTTTAAAGTGTAACAAAACAAGAGGAAGCTGGCCTGCCAGTGTACTGGAGACTTCGAGCAGGTCGTCATGGAAACGTTACGTTAGATCTAGATGCGTTGTGATGACTTATTATTGACTTACTGTCAATAATAATCAATAGGAGAAAGAACATTACCTTCTGTAAGTATCCTACTTCTTTATGTGAACATGTTTATTTCCCAACATGTGCCAAGAAACATTATTATCTATATATGTCGATTTTATGTTTATTGGTTTACTAGCAGACGTTTATTTTACATTGAGGCCAGGTTAACGGGCTAACAACAGATTGAGTACAACAAAGAGTTACAAGTCCTCTACTTTGGCCGAGTGTGCAGGAACCTTGAGTGCACTCAACAGGTCTTCCCAGTAAGGATAAGGTTTATGATTTTCCAAACCTATGATTCGTTTTGATTTTCTATTTGGTTGGCTCATTCATTTTTGTCTTCACTGCTTTGCCATTGTGTCTTGATTCTTCAACATCAACTGATCATTGGTTAATTTGTACACATTTAAAATTCTTAATTAGAAGGGAAACTGAATTTTAAACTTAGACAGTTTAATAGTTTAAAAGTAAGAACACACTCAGAAAACAGTCAACATTGAGCACAAATATATCATTAATGTTAAATATTGTCCAAAATAATGCATACATTTTCTACATGGTAATATACCCTTGGTGGTAAGGGGGGAGACTTGTATTTGGAATTTAGATTACCTGATTCTTATGTCTTTGCTTTCTCTCTTTATTTCTCTTCTTTTATGTTCAGGTGATGGAGTTCCCCCAGCATTCTCAGCAGCTGCTGTCAGCTCTGCGTTCCCAGCGCCAGCGGGGCTTCCTCTGTGACTGCACCGTCCTGGTGGGCTCATCCCGTTTCCTGGCTCACAGAGCTGTTTTGGCCTCTTGCTCACCTTTCTTCCACATGTTCTACTCAGATCCTCAAGGCGTCCTTGGTGGAAACAGCAGCAGCAGCTCTGTCACACTCGACAGCGACATTGTCACGGCTGCTGCATTTAGCTTGCTCTTGGACTTTGTCTATGAAGGCGTTCTACAGCTGGGCGAGTCTCCACCAGTGGAGGACATATTGGCAGCTGCAAGCTTTCTGCATATGAATGAGGTTGTAAGAGTCTGCAAGAAACGACTGCAGCGACGGGGTCCTCTGGCTGAGGCTGACAGCACTCGCTCTGAAGAAAGCACTGGAGCGAGAAGGGCAATAGAGACAGGGAGGGAGGGTGGGGGGGACGGTGGAGCTGAGCCAGTGGTGGCCATGGCAGGACATCTCTTGGATCCAGTCGCCATGGCAGCACCATACTTACCAGTGTGTATAATGACAGAGAGGCGTCAATCTGTAAAGTCTGAGAGTAGGACTGGGGCGGGGTCTTCAGAAGCACGAGTTCAGACTCCTCTGAGCCCTGACATCGCTGATACCACACAGCCAGGCATGGATGCATCTCCTCTGGCCCCCACCAGAGAACTGATTCAGGGCCTCATAACAGGCCGGTCTGCCCAGGGAGGTCACTCCAGGTCGGGGTCCGGAGGTCATGGTGACGGGTCTGCACTCTGCAGCCCTTGCAGCACCACTGAGACATACAGGTATGAGTCTGTTGTAACTTCCATACTGTTTTAAAAGGAGTTCCTCCGTGTACTGGAATACCTTTTTATCTGATTTGTTGTTTTTAAAAAACCTGTTAAGTGTAGATCCAGGGATAGCACTTTGGTGGCTGATTCACTTTTTTTTTTAAACCTTGAGATTGTTCCCCCAAATTTACAGAATACATAAATATGTTTGCACTAAGTTACATAATTGTTTTTATTAAAGTGGTTCATGTCTAGCTGTGTCATTTCACCATAGAAAAATGTAATGTACGAGTCAAAGCAGCTGGCAAGCGGACGGTTTTCACCAGCGGCTGACGATCGGTGCATCTCTCCACTGTTTACACTATATCTTTCTTTCTGTCTTTCTTCCATCAGCAACAGCAATAACCAGCAGCCCTCCTCATCTTCTTCCTCCGTGGTGCCAGTGAGCCAGGCTAGCAGTCGGTCAGTGGTTGCTTATTCCCAGTCAGGACCCGGTTTCTCCACCAGCCTCCTACAGGACGATCACCGACTGGCATGTGATGTCTCTGTAAGGAAACCCTCAGAGGCTGACTACAGGGGTACATCAGGCAGAGGACAACAGATGGTCAATTTAATCCAAACATCAGCCCTAACGGCACGCAACCCAACACACTCGCCAACACAGCGTACACTCCCCCAAATTCGAATCCAGAACACTATGTCGCTTCAACGCCAAAGCTCGGACTTCCACCTGGCTACTCGGACACAAACCCTTAGAGGATCTGAGGGGAATATGGGAGCTTCACCCACCACTACAAATGAAAGGTCTCACCCTCTTATGGGCAGAATGAGGACAGACAACAATGATGGAGAGAATGTGAACATAAAAGTGGAGGCCATTGTTATATCTGATGAAGAGTTAGAGGAGGGAGCGGAACCAGTTATGGAAGTAGACGATGAGTATGAGGAAGAAGAGGAGCTGCACAGCCCTCAGTTTCTCTCCTCCCATCCACAGGGTCTCTCACAAATGGCTTCTCATTCAAATGACTACTCCTTTCCCCTCTCTCCCTCCTCTTCCTCCTCTGGTGCCGGCCCTTCCTCACAGGACACTTCCTCCTTCCCCTTGGTTCCTCCATCCACAGCCCAGCAGCATTCGGAGCATCCTGCCTACTTCCAGGACTTCCAGGACACTATGGGAAACTTTGTGGAGGACGTCCCCACATGTGGAGTGTGTGGAAAGACGTTCTCATGTACATACACATTAAGGCGCCACGCCATTGTGCACACACGCGAGCGTCCTTATGAGTGTCGCTACTGCTACCGGAGCTACACACAATCAGGGGACCTGTACAGACACATACGCAAAGCTCACGACAACTCACTGCCAGCCAAACGCAGCAAGGCCGACATGGACCCCTCCCTGCCACCACAACCACCACAACCACCACTACCACCACAACCACCACTACCACCACCTCTTAGTTAACACACACACACACACACCTTATTATATTTCTATACTCATGCACACATACCTTAAAGGTGGGGTAGGTCATTTTGGAGAAACCAGCTCGAGTGCGCTAGAATTTCAAAATACACAACCGGAAAAAATCTGCCACTTCCTTATAGAGCCCCTCCTCCAACACACACGAACGCGCACATGACCAATGAGGGCACGAGATAAGTCTGTGCACAGATAGATGGAAGGCTGACAGGCAGGTAGGCCATCCAGTTATTTTAGCCAGGCCGGCTAAAATGATTGGTCGTGCTTTTTACAGTACTACGGCTTCCACAGATGACATTTTTTTATGGATTTTTTGTCAAAGCACTTAAGATATTCATTGCTATCGGGATGTTAAGAGCATTCCATGGAATATAACAAAAAGTGTATCTCGAGCCGGTTTCTCAAACTTACCTACCCCACCTTTAACCTTAATATCATAACTTTTATTCTACATTTCTCGATTACTCTCTAATCAATTACCTGATTGGTCTATAATAATAAATATTGTGAAAAACATACAAAATAATATTTATATCTGGCTTGACATTGCCACACCCAAATTGAAATTCGGTCCAGTCCAGTTCATTCAACACGTTCATGATAGCAGCTTCAAAAATGTTCAGCTGCAGCCATCTCTCGCCCGCTCCTCTTTACTGACTTTGGCCCAATATTAGATGAAATGCTGTTATTGGCCGGCAGATCTGAAGTTGCGGGAAATCTATCCACATCAGAGCAAATAAAACATTGTTACTACTACGTTTTTGTAGGTACATTCTTTTATCAAAAACATAAAAGTTGTTAGAATATTCAGAAGCTGTGACTCCCTACTTTAAGTGTTTGCTATTTCAACTCAAAACACAAATACGAGAAAGCTGTTGTTTTTAATTTCATTAGTTACATGAGTTGTAATGTGTACGACTGCCTACTAAGTGTGTGACTCTACCAGCAAAGTTTATTGTAGCATTGTACTGTCGGTACCCCTTTACAATAAGACTACCCTTATAAAGGGTTTACGAATAGTTTGTAATTCATTTATTAATTAGGTTGTGAACACTTTATAAATCATTAATAAGCTTTTATAAGACATGAGATAAACAGGGCAACTGTGACCGGTTGCTTGCCAAATAGTGAACCCACATTTATCTGTACTGCTAAGCCTTATTATAAATGGTAGTAACTCATTAATAAATGGTGATTTGTTTCACACTTTACAATAAGGCTCTCTTTTGGCAACTATAAATGTTAGTAACTCGTAAATAAATGGTCATAAAGAGATGCCAAGAAACATCAAGATGGAACGGGGGGAATCAACTCAGTGAACAACAGATACCAAGGATGCTGGCTGATGAAGAAGACGAAGTAAGCTAGGTAGCCAATATAAGGCTTAGTTATCTTGCCAAATAGTGAGCCTGTGTTGATGTATGAAAACTATGTTAGAACTGGTTTATAAATGGTTCTTAATGATTAATAAAGTGTTTACAACCTAATTAGAAACCCTTTATGAATCCTTTATAAGGGTAGTCTTATTGTAAAGTGATACCATACTGTCTCCTGTTTTATTTACAGAAAGGACATCTACAAAGAAAATCCCTGCAAAAACTCAGACGTTTTTTAATTTATAACTTATAATACAAGTTTTTCCTTGCATCAGTTTTAAAGAAGCTGCATCATGAACATAAGTTATGTACAGTATATCTGATGAAGTAGAAAATCAACTGTGCCAAAAGTCCTTTACCTTGTTTCTTCATAACCTTATCTTCTTTTAGATGCAGTAAGAAGTCTTCGTTTAGGAATCATTCATAATAGACAGCTGACCCAGAAATAACACAGTGGCAGCCATACAGCATAGCACTCTCTGTATTATCCTAACATATGATTTTGCAACATTTCATTGTCTTTGCTTGAAAATGTTAAATGTTAAACTATACAAACTTTACGCCAAAATGCAGTAGGATGGCAGTTGGTGGGGACGTGAAGTGTGGGGCTCTTCCCCGTTTGTGTTTAGCTTTCCTTATTGCCTGTGTGACCTTTGCCATAATCACAGATTATACAGTTTGAGCATTTTTTTACATGCAGTAATTCAGCCCCCTCTTTACATTTATACTTGAAATGTGCCTAAATGACTGTCAACTGAATTTGTTGTTCAACGCCATTTTACATGTTTTGGAAGTACATTTTCTGTACTTAAAATAATAATAATGTAATGGTTCTTACCATAAAAGAGTTCTGAGTACAGGTGGAGTTCAGTCATTGTGTGCAAAATCTAAAAAGGTCCATTTGTGAATAAACACTGTTTAGTAAAACATTGTGTTCATGTTGCCGTTTCAGTAAATCACAAAATCACACAGGTTGGTCACTAAACATTACCCTTTAGTTTATTTTTATTTCACTATAAAAGAAAATATACAAAAATATAAACATTTGTTATTCTTCAGTTGTAACACAATTACACTGAACTTGTAGCACTTATTTCACTGTCTGTTGCAAGTCAACTTTAAAATGTTCACTCGTGACACGCTGAGGACACGCCATCCTTCGTACGTTTTTCTCTCTTCAGTCTTCTACTGGCCCGTGGATCTGTCAGGGAAAACATTATAATAACAATTCATTTTCATTCATTTTAACAGCACTAAACGATGAACTGAACTTATGGGACAGATGTTACTGTTAACACTATTGTTAGTACATTTTGTCAACTGGACGACGCTTTGAATCACACCTAATACAAATCAGTGTTCCAGGACACTTCATTTACTTAAACTAAGAAACTTTTAATTGGGTGCCACAAATTGATCTTGTCTTTGATTTAACAGCCTTCTGTAAAGTTGGCTACAAAACAGAACAACTCACCGCCTCAGCCAACTCTGGCCAATCCATTGCCATCACAACGGTATCGTCAGAGTTTGGTGGCGTCTCCAGGTTCCAGTAGGTCAGCTTGTCAAACACAGATGATACCTTCACTGTCCTGTCCTGAAAACACACATTTAAGTACACATAATAACAAAATAGTTACCAAACTGAAATCAGATGTTATCCTCCGTGCAATCAGAGCTTTGCCTTATGTTTGGCTGAACCAGACTGCGGGTCAGCGTCAGATGTTTACCTCTTGGTCAGAGCCGGGCTTGTTGGTCTCTTTCAGCACTAAGCCAGTGTAGCCCTGAGGACAGCTGAGCTCCTGGCCCTTCAACCCACGCCCTCTGAATGATACCATCTTCTCTGTAAGGAGAAAAATGTACAAAGGATTGTAGTTAGAAACAAAAAATGATGTGGTAAAAAATGTTAAGCTATGTTACAAAAAAAGGGCAACAAAGTTTTAAAGGTCACCTGACCAACAACTTAATGTTCCGTCACACAAAAGAATAAAAATCATGAAGACAAGAACAGAATATATTCTAAGGATATCTGCAACATTTACACATAAAACATAGCTCTGCAGACCACTCGGCATTTCAGTCTAGTTCCTAGTGTTTTATCTATGATGTTCTTTTGTGTCAAATTTACATATTCTGTTTTCTGCTTTCAGGATTTTGTAAAGGGTATGGAAACTACCTATCTGTTTTATACTATTTTGAGGAAGTGGTTTCACTATGTTTGCTTTCTATGTCTTTAAGTGAGCTCAGCTTACTGAAAACATTAGATACACCTTTGTTAATCAATCTTTGTGACTAACTAAATCAAAGCATCCTCAATCATTTTCTAAAAGCTGTGGATTATACATGGTCATAATTATGCCGTTTTATTTATTTTGATAAGAAAAATAACTTAGGCCTTCTGTTAATATGTTGACCATCCTGACATTGGATAAATTGCATTTGTTTTTATCTCCATCGTTGTTTTCTATAAATAGCAGACCAGTGACAGTCAGCTTTGGTCTACTGTCAGAGAGGTTGAGTATACCTAGTTTGCAGTCTTTGGTGGTGGCAGTGAGGTATTGTGAGACCTGGGCCGGCCCATTGTGTTCAATCTCACAGGGCAGGAGGTGGACTGGGACCCTCTGCGCCTGGCCCACAGAGGACACGTTAACCCGGGTAACACTGCTGTTACAGGACATGCTGCGATGAGAAGACAGAAGAGAACAAAACACAAATGTCTTGCTGTGATTTGATACATGTAAAAAGGTGATGTATATAAGATGTATGCACTGGCTACAACAGAAAAGTATTTCTCCCCCATATTCAGAAAAACTGATAATTTATTAAGTTCAGGTGCAAAAAAAAAGTAAGGTCCATTAAAGTGATCTGATTACCAGTACATAGACAGTGTATTATGTATTATACATATTTTTTTCATAGGGCTTCTATGAAATGTTAAGGAGAAATAATTGTATCAGTAGAAAACCATCAGACTTTACATAAAATAAAAAGCATGCCTCATCTATTAAATATCTGTACCCTATGAGCGTGTTTTCTTAAATCATCTGATATAGTTTTTTAACGCGTTATTACGTGACTTCAATATGGAATAATTGAATACAGCTGGAACAAACCTTTTAGCAGTTTTCCAAATGTTTTTGTGAAATGAATTGGACCTCTTCCGGTTAGAGCCGGACTGCGTCTGATTGGACAAACGTGTCTTCTTCTACGCTGCTAGATGTTTTTTGGCGGGTTTTTTCTCTTGCAGTAAGGTATGTCTCCCCCTACTGGAGGGATACTATTTTACTTGTTCTGCTTTTTTAGATCTGTTGTTTTCTTGATTATTTTATTGTCTTCCTTCTTGTTCTTTGAGCCAATACACATCTATCAAATTGTGTTAACATAATTGGTCACAAAAGAGTAGCAGTAGTATCTGCACTTTCATCCCTTCTTTTTTAGGTATTTCGTATTCAAAATATGGCATAAGGTCTTGCACAGTAGCTTAATTATTGTCAACATTAAGATACTTTGGGCTTTATCCCATGGTCCTTTAGAAGGACAATTCTCTAAGTACAATGCAGGATCAAGACTTAGCGAACAGATCAATGTGCTTAAGTTGCTAGTAGGCCTAGAACAGTTTAAGACTGAGCTCTATCAAAGTAAAAGGAAATGTGTGTATAAATGTGGATTAGGATGTGCAAAGATACAAAGAATTTGGGCTACAAATAACAATTATTTTCATTTTGGATTAATCTACAGATTATTTTACAGTTTGTTTTACCCTCGATTTACGAATCAAAGGAAAAGGCAAGAATACACTTGAAATGAAAGCTGCCCATGAGGTCAAATGATCCCCTAACATTGTCATAGAAGGCAATGCAATGTATCAATTAGTTTAAACAATTCCCAAAACCAAAACATAGTAGATGTTAACATTGTATTCCTACTTCCTATAATAGGAAGTAGGAATACAATGTTAACATCTACTATGTTTTGGCCTAAGGAATCCTATTAATGATAACACTTCAGCTTTAACTTTCTGTAATTGTACTCTTTATTTTTCTCTTTTGTCCGCTAAACATAAACTATATGGGGTTTTAATAGTAAGAAGTATAGTTCTTAAAACTTCTCAAGCCTTGGCCTTGTTGTCAGTGTCATATTTAACACTAAGAACTCTGTTCCAGTTGGCAGAGCTACTCTCATCATGTGGGATGGACTAAGCCCGTCCAATGGCAGCTATTTCAGCAGCCGAAGTTATTGAAGGATCACAACATTTGATCCAGACAGGGTCAAGCTGTGGATAAAGGCGCTTCAGGGGAAAGAGAAGTGATTTCCTAACACTCACAGTTGGCCAGAGGTGAGTTTTCTATAACAAAATAATTCTGTTGCAGGCATGTTGCTGATGGATATCATGTAAAATAGTTGTGTTAAATGTTAAATAGCCAAAACATATGTTTGATTTGCAGTGGAAATCTTATTAAAGTAAGAGTATGTACAGTTAGTATAATCAGGAACATTTAAAGAATCAAAAGTAAAAAGTGCCCAATGCAGAGAGATGGCGCTGTGACACCTTTACAATGCTTCTTTTGTATAACCACTGTTACAAAACTCAATATGAATGATAAACTAATTAAAAAAGGAAAATACGCAAATCCACATTTGTGAAGCCGGCAACTATAAATGTTTGATGTTTAAATTATTCAAATAGTTTTATTTCAAATGACAAATGGTCTCATCTCTATTTGTACAAAGTCATATATTTCGTTTTATTTATAACATCAACTCTTCATTCTTCTTAAATGTGGTGGAGGAGAAGCAGAAAGTGGCATGAAAAAGTATACTTAATATTAAATACTTGGCTACTGTGATATATTAGATCACTATAAATAGCATGAAATGAGAAATTAAACAGCTTATACTAAAACAGAAAATTAAACATCAATCCACCAACATTATTACACAGTACATATTTTGTCAAAACCTCCAGATTATTTTGACTTTTTTCTTAGATGCTTCTTGTCAGTAATACAGTCAGAGCGGCAGTTGACTGTTGACACAGTTGGTTCAGTCATCTGATGCTAAAGGCCTCTGCTTGTGACTGAGATCAGACTCAGTGGTTTCACAGCCATCACTGCTATCAAAGTGGGGCTTGTTTCTGGACATCATGACATCATCAACCACACTTTTCCATGAAATAAAACAGCAGGAGTTATAGACTCAAGCCACTAATTGATGACTGGAGACTGAAGTTTAACTTAAGCACTGATGTCTCATGACTTCTCTTGGACTGAGCCTTCTGACCTGAAAATCAGAAATGCAACCCTTAATTATCATGTTCCACTTCCATGTGTTATCTAACAGCATCCAATCAAGTCACAGGATAGAACCATGAAGAACTAATGTTACTGAACTCCAGTAGAAAAATATACCAAAGATTATTTCCTTCCTTCCAAAAACTATGCCATCGACATGGTGAACAAAAAGCAAACAGCAGTAATTGAATGTGTATGTCTAAAATTAAATAAAATGTGGTGATAAACATATGATGATTTATTTTGGACTGCAAACCAAATGTGAAAGTTATTCTCTTCAGGTGACCTTTTTTCGGGGATTCTTTCATTTTTTATACAGTACTGCTGAAAGTGGACAGGACAAGGGGGGATGGGGGGATGATATGCAGCAAAGGGCAGCATTCAGATTCAAAGTAGTCAGCTAGTTAAGGTCTCTTTATATCAAAAGGAGCATTTGTACAAGTGTCACCAACAGGTGAGCTAAAGGGCACCCGGGACTTGTCAGTCTTGACTTGGGACTTGACTGCAAAGACTTGAGACTTACTTTTGACTTTCAAAACAATGACTTGGTTCTGCCTGTGTAAAACAGTTCTTGATGTGAATTTGACTTAAAGTGAAATATGGACAAAATCCATTGGGATCCTTTTCATTATGTCTTTACACTAACTCATACTTGTGGTGGCATTAAATGTGGTTTTTATCAACTGTTCCAGGTTAACTCTGTACTAATCTGCTTTTCCAAAAAATAAATGTACTCTCTTTTTTTTTATGTTTAGATTTCATGGGTAAAAAGAGTGATATGCGTTCAGGAGATGGAGAACCTTCAGCTCAAATGTTTGGGGCGCTGCTGGGGCTCCAGGATGCTGTCGTCACGTGGATGTCACGCGCCCGTCAGAGGGTTATTCAGGGCTTAACTGTGTTCTCCATTGTCTTTCTGCTTCTCTGGATTTCAGCCTTTTTATATGGCAGCTTCTACTACTCTTACATGCCATTGGCGGCCTTTTCCACACCTGTGCACTATCACTACAGGTGTGTATGTAATATCTTATCCAGCTGCATCAGACTGTAATTTATGTCTTGTAATTTTATCTTTCTGGCTTTCCCATTTTTGTCTACAGGACGGACTGTGAATCTCCTGTCTCTTTTCTATGCTCTTATCCAATGGCAAACATCTCTCTGATGAGGAATAAGAAACATGTATGTATGAATTTGCTGTGCATCAATCTGTGTATTTGTATCTATCTCTTCTCCCATGAGTATTACCTTTTAAAAATGTACATTCAGGTGCTGACATTTGGCCAGGCCTATGAGATGTCTCTGCAGCTGGACATGCCTGATTCTCCAGCCAATCAGGAGTTGGGGATGTTAATGATCAAGACAACCTGTTTCTCTGGGAAAGGAGGGCAGGTTGCCTCCTCTGCTCGCTCTGTGAGTTGTTGATTTGTTCATCTCCAAATGTGTGCCTTAAATCAAATAATGCTTCATTGTTAGTTCATGCACAATGATTCACTTTTGCATTGCTGTGTGTTTCTCAGGCAAGACAACTGCTGTCCGCCTCCAGCTCTCGCTTTGTGAGTACAGCGCTGACGCACATTAACCTTTAATCACTCAGCCTGGTCAGATTAGACTGCTTGTGCTTGCTGCAACAGAATGTGATCTCAGTGTTCAGGTGATAGAGATGTCCACACAAACATGTGAATGTATGATTGTTAAATGAAATACATCATATATATATCTTCCAGGAATATATGATGTGTAAAGTATGCTATTATTCATTTAAATCAGCTGTTCTCCTTCACCAGAGGTACTGCCGGATATTTGCATCCCAGTTCTTTTTTCCTCTATTGTTTGTCAAGTTTTGTTTAGTTGCTATTTATTTGGGAATGTGGTCCTTAAAGCAGCTATGACTTAAATTACTCGATTGAGTGTTTACAAAAAGAAACCAGTACTCTTATAAATACTACTTCTTTTGAAGCCTCAAACTTTAGTAAAGAGGTGTTGATATGGTATTTTTACTAAAGCTGCATTTTTGGTTGTTTTTGCATAATGTGTTTTGAATTTTATGTATATTAATTAGAAACACAAAATAGTCTATTTGAAAGACCTTTCAGTCACATACAATGCCAGAACGAGGCCTAAAACTGCCTAGAACTGAGACAACACAACAAGTTTAAAACAGAAGAACTTTACAGAACTATTGTATTACACTTTATAACACTGTACAAGGGGGAGTCCACTGAGATCAGCCTTTTGTCAACGCTTATTAAACATTAAACATAACCAAATCATTGAGTTATACGCAAAGGTAAAGCTTTTGCATGTGTGTTTACTGTATGTCCTACATGTGGGACGAGCTATTCATATGTTAATAGCAATGAATAAAAGTTCTAAGATTTCATGTAGTCTGGTCTGATATATATGTATGTGATAAATAGATGATAGATACAGGTTCTTATTTTATGTAATCTGATTGAGTAATCCTGATTAAATGTAATCTGTTACAGACTGAAATAATGTATTGACAGTACTATGTCTGTGTGACTGTGTTGCCCTGCGGTTCAGGGCATGTTCCGGTACCGCTCAGAGCTGCTGAGGTCTCTGGGCACGCTGCTGTTCCTCCCGGCCTTTCTGACCGGAGTCTCTGAGCAGAAACAAGTGCTGGAGGTGGAGCTCTTCTCAGACTACACGGACGACCCAGTGAGTCCTGGACTGCTTCGTCGACGTGTTAAAATGTGTCATGTGTTTTGTTGACTAAAAGGTTTGCCTTCATGTGTATAGTATCTCCCATCGGTCACGGCCGTCATTGAGATCCTCTCCAGCAAAGTGCAGATCTACTCATCCCAGCTCAACGTACATGCCCACTTCACTGGTATAAGGTAACATCTGTACCATGTTTTAATTTAGATCTGATGTTAAATATCTGATGATGAAACAAGAAGAAAAACAGAGGGACAGTCACAGTAACCCCCAGTCACATTTATTAATTTAGATTTAGATAGTTTTAGTGTGAGTTGCAGAGAGTTGGAGATTATGGAGAAGATGTCTCCCTCCTCTTGAATATAATGGAAGTGAACGTCACTTGGCCATTGGCGTTCAAAACCCCAAAGACATATGAAAAACTCAGCATCAAATTGTACTTGCATCACAGCAGCTCCATTTGCAACATCAAAGAAGGGCAAATATTAAGACATGATACAAGGAAAACAAACATTTAACATAACATCACGATCACTGAAGAAGAGCATGCTCAGAGACCCTCTAACGTACATTAGACTTCATGCAGGAACTTTTGTATATCTACTAAACTGCACCTGCTTACAATGGAGCACTAGTGTCTGGTGAAGTTCCTGCATGTGTCAAAAATATAAAATCCTTTGTGCACGTCTGAATAAAAAATATACAACATGTGATATATTAATACAAGTTATAATGACTCTTTTATCTTTGTATTCTCTATTAGATATTTCTTGTTCAAATTCCCTCTCCTCTCAGCCCTGGTGGGCGTGTCCAGTAACTTTGTCTTCCTCAGTCTCTTCTTCGTCTTCAGCTATGTGAAGCTGCTGTTGAATGAGGATTGGGCACCAGTGCAGGTGAGAGAAGAGCCGTTACTGCATACACGTAACTGCAGCTGCAGCCCTGCACACTTCATGAGTTTGGTGTTCCATGATAACGTGAAATATATTCCTCTCGGGTGTTGTGTCTCAGCCTCAACGAGCTCTGAGTGTATGTTCTTCTGCTTGTTTACAGCTCAGAACAGATGGCGGTCGGAACATCAACCAAGAGGATCACAGCAATGCTGCTGGAGGTACAAAAAACACACTGAGAGAATTTCAATGTTTTTTAAAGTTATTTGCCTAAGACACTTGATAATGACTACAAGAATGAATCCCTCGGTAGGTACAGCAGAGCTGGTGGGTCCACGAATGTGACCGGAGAGAGGCCCCATCTGCACTGTTGCAACAACCCAGAGCTGCAGAACAGACAGGTTCAACCTCAGATTTAAATACGATTCGGAGGCCTTTCAAGGATAATGAGAACAAGATGTAATGGTGAATACTTGAGACGGCTGGAAATGACTCAGAAAGCACCCACAGACTTCTGAAGCTCTGTGTTTGTCTGAAGCTCTGTGTTTGTCTCACACTCTTTCAGCACTGTTTCAAGTCTCTCAATGTTGCTTTGTTAATACTCTGCACCTCAAACTTTGGATTAGTAGTTCAATCAAAAAACTGTTCAACAATATTCAATAATTCGATAAGATATTAGAAAGTAAATAGGTGTAATGATACATACAGACAAAATCATGAAATTGTGATTATAACCCTGAATTGTTATTTCTATGGAAATACTATATTCCCTTTAGCTGCAGCTGTATGAAATGCAAGATTGTAAAGCTGTTTCATTTTTAATGTAAAGACATGCCGGCTAACATATTTCTCTAAGTTCTTAAAACCAGCTCACTGTCTTTTCCAACTGATAAGTAGTCCACCTCACAAATACTGTGAAGTTGAGTTATTTCAATAAGGTTTGTGTGAAAAGGATCTTGCTTAACTGAATGACAACTATGACGACAATCCACATGTTCACAATAGAAATATTAGAGTGATAAAAGTAGATGATGTTAAATGTTTTAAAACTTCTTAAAACCTGTTTTTTGTTACTTGATCAAAATGCACAAAGATATCAAACCTGTTTTTGCCTCTTTCTACTTCAAAAAATATATGAACACAGATTTAGTTATTTGAGTTATTAAGTAATGGCTGAAAATTATTTCTTAAGTCTACATTCTGTTAAACTGTTGCAATAAAACCTTTACAAAAATGTTCCATCAGGCTTCTGTTTGAATCTTTTCAGAGAATACTGCCTCTAAACAGTTAACACACAAAGTGCACTCTCATTATTGGAGGACACGTTATAGTATTTCCATCCTGCTATCTGACGTAGTGTCGTTCCTGGATGTCCTCTTGAAGCTTTGGAAACTTAATGACGTCACTGCATGCAAAACTTTGCACCACCAGTGAGAATGAGAGAGAGATGTAGCTCACTGACGGTCACAGTGCTTTCTAACAGGTGGCAGACACAGGTAAGGTAAGTTATCCACATGCAATCATTTGTTGTTCTATATTTCCATTTGTGTAATTTGAAGAAAGCTTAGAAATATTGCTGTGGAGGTGTTAAACTGGAGTTTAGACTTGTAAATGAATTTCCTCAAACACATTCGAAACTGTGTATCTTTTGTAAACATTTCCCTGTTTTTGTATAAGCACATGTGTTCATGGAGTAGAGGCGCACACCTACGCTCTCACACTGGCCCGTGAGATGAACGTGATGACGGATGATAACTACATGGAGGGGATGGAGATGGAGACGGAGAACAATCCAACAATGGATACTGACTTTTCTTCAGATAAGACGTACCAACATCTGACAATTAGAGAAGGGACTTCCAGTAGCTGCAGGAGGGTCAAAGTGAGATCCAGACCCAGACTCCAGTCCACAAAGAGCTTCCCCCCTTACAATCAGTGCATTGGGGGACTCGGAGAGGACGGGGATGGAGACGATGAGCTCAGTCAGTCGAGCGACGTGATGAGGGAAGACAGGAATGAGGTCTGTCAAGGCACAGAAAGAAACAAGGACATTGAATTTATCCCAAGATGCGCAAGGGATGAAGTAAAGGAACAACGGAGGATGAGGAGGAAGGAAAGGGTGGGGGGCTGCGGTGAAGTTGATACAGATGGATTGGAGAGGTGGAGTGGGAATAGAAGAGTGGAAGAGAAGAGCGAGTGTGAGGATAAGGAGATGGAAGGGGGCACAAACAGCGAGTGGCAACACTGCAGAGGTAGAAACTCTAGTTTTGAGATTGAAGAAGTGGATGAAGAGAGGAAGACATCGTCAGAGGGGGAGAACGAGGGGAGCGGGGAGACCGAGGAGCTGATAGGAATCAAAGAGGGATCCACAACACATCAGTGGTCCTCCCCACATCCAATCCTCTCCAAGCTTCTGCACTCCTCCTCCTCCACCTCCTCCAGCTCCTCCATCAACTTCTCCTCAGCAGAGAGCGATGAGGTCTTCAGTGAAGGAGAGGATGTTGGCTCAAAGAGGAGGGCCTTCAGGAAGGTGAGATGCAGTTGGACACATTGTCTTGCATCTGCTAGCCCAGTCGATGCACTTTCCATGGCGATGGCTTAATAAAACTACATTTCTCAACTGTCATTCACACCTGTGGTCCGGCTGATTTGCATCGGCTTGAAAGAGGACTTTGACAAAGTCAGATTTGAATGGTGTTTGCATGCCTGGCTCTGGCTGCTGTAGATAGGACAGTAGAGGGAAGCAGGCAGTGGGAGTAGATCTTCTCAGTATTTTGCATTGTTGTACATAGTAAGCCTCGACTAAATAAAAGAGCACTACATAAGAAGGTGAACTAAGCATAAATAGCATATCATGTAGACATTGTGTGAAAGGGACTCCACTAAGCATGCTCTGGTCTACCTTTGCTTCCCTTGTTTATTTAGTTTTTCTTTGGTGTGCCTGGTGGCAGCTGCTTTGTGTATATACAAAACAGATCATAACTGTTGAGGTATGCGCTGTTGGTGAAAGCCAAACACACAGACAGACACTGCGCTAACACTTTTAGACGGGCACAAAGGACTTTATAGGTGTTTGTACCATATATTTCAGTTATTTAAATGATCACAGTTGCAAAAGCACAGGTGTAAATAATTAAATGAGTGATGGTTCCAGAAATTAAGGCTGCTTGAGTTTCAAGGTCCTGGTATTGTTCATGCTGGGTCACCGTCATATCTTCGTGGGACAATATAAATAGAACATAGCCATTATTGACCTGTATTTTTACTACTACGACAAATCAAAATATCTGCTTTGAGGTAGACCTGCGTGTAGACCTTTGGTTGTCACCTATTTGATACAGCATATAGGCTGCCTATACAAATCAAAATTGCCATATTGTAAAGTTGGAATTAAAGATGTGATCAGGTTATCCTTTACAATGTGACTTGAATCTAATTGTAATTTGTCTCAAATCAGGGCTGATTTTAGGTAATTATTTTTAATAATTAGATAACCAAACCCTGATTGTTTTTATAGCCCACTGTCTCCTCACTAAATCAAGTTCCTGGTTCAGCCTGGAGCCTTTCAACTTGCATGCAGATGTTCAGGTTTAGATGAACTCTGAACTGCCTGCAGGGGGGATGTGTTTCTCTGTGTTCTTTACCCCTGTGGCCTTGCCAAAGATCTAATCTTCCTCTTCAAAAACAATGCATACTAGAAAAGGCTTGTCTACCTGTTGGTCTTGCATGAAGACTTAAATATAATCTGCTCTTCTTTTGGGCCTCAGAGCCGCTCTTGGAAGACCTACCTGACCATGATGCACTGGTCTCTGCGGCGGCAGGGCTCCTGGGTCCAGCTGGCTGGACATCAAGGCATGTTCATCCAAAACAGACACATACAGGCACTCAGAAACTACTGTGTTCAAGTTTAGAGATAAATATGAGAGCGATCAGACCACTTAAATTCACTTAAATGGTGTAGATTCATGCTGTGATGGTTATCTCACTGTGCATACATCACTGCTGCTGTTTTAACAGACTTTGTCATAGTTCATCCACCATGCACCAACACATTTAATCATGTCAACCATCTCTGAGTAAAGGTTTCTCATCTAATAAGAAGGTTTGCTCAAGTTAAAAAAGGAAAAAACACAACAAATGATGATATCGGCCTTCTTGTTTTATTAAACACATGTGGATAGCTAATATTCCTAATGGTTGTCTCTGCTTCCCTTGGTACTGTCATCACCAGGTAACTTCCAGCTGAGTGAGGGAGGGGAGGTGTTGAAACTGTACTGTGAAGTGGAGGCAAAGTGTCTGGACTCCCTGATGAGAGATGCGCTGAGACCCTTCGTCCCGCAGTACCACGGCTGCGTCACCAGAGGGGAGCACTGCTACATCCGCCTGGAGGACCTGCTGAGCGGCCTGAGGAGACCTGTCATCATGGACTGCAAGATGGGAGTCAGGTAGGCTAGAGAGCAAATATTTATTTTGACCAGCAGCGACTACATGGACGAAATCATAGAATAGACAGCGAGACATGGAAAAGGCACTACCATCTCTTCTAAGTAGGAGCAGATTTTGATATGCTTTGCCTTGGTTTTGTAGTTTTTGTTGTGTCTCTGTCTAGTTTTGCCCCTTCTAGACATTTGTGTCTCTTCGCAGGTGCTTATCATCTCCTGGTCGTAATACATTTTCTTTCTTATTGGTACATGTCTCTACCAGTAACATTTTAGGCCCATGGCCTTATGCCTGGTAAAGTTGCTCATTGGTGACCACAACGGTCTTGCAGGCATTTAATTCGAAATTATAGAAAATAGTTGGTTAAGATCAAATGAGGGTCTGAGTGGTGAAAGCAAAGCAGTGTGTTTTTAAATACATTACAGTTTCTTTCTCAGGACATACCAGGAGGAGGAGGTGGCAAAAACCCAGACTAAGACCACCCTACGGAGTGACATGTACCAGAAGATGGTGAAAGTAGACCCTTCCGCTCCATCAGTGGAGGAACACGAACAGAAAGCGGTGACCAAGAGTCGGTACCTTCAGTGGAGGGATACAACCAGCTCTACGTCCACGCTGGGCTTCAGGATAGAGGGCATCATGGTAGGGGTAAAAGGCATCACAGCAGGACTATTTATGAAAAAATTGCCATTTACCTGGATTGTTCTTATCAAGTGACATGTCTGTGCTGCTGTGTTTATTTTCTGTGTGACTCAGATGGAGGATGGCAGTGTCCAAAGGGATTTTAGGAAAATTCTGACTTTAGCTAAGGTCACTGAGGCAATGCTCTACTTCACCCGGAGTCAGCTGGATATTCTGGTCAGTTTGTCTGTCTGTCTGTCTGTCTGTCTGTCTGTCTGTCTGTCTGTCTGTGGCTGGCTGGCCGTTAAACACTGGTTACATTTCCAGTGTCGCTTCTTGACCTCTATTATGTTGTTTGTAGTTGTAGTTGTAAAATCCTATTCCTCCCAATTTACGTTTCCTTTTTTACGTTAATCCTTTACCCTGATGTAGTATCTGTGTCTGCTAAATCTCACCTCTGCCCATGTGTGCACTCAGAAAGCGTACCACTCCAGACTCCTGGCCCTGAGCGAAGCCCTGAAGAATTCACTGTTTTTCAGGAGCCATGAGGTTGGTTTCGAGACAATTCATATATTTGTAATTTCTGCCTTAAATCAAATTAAATTGATAAAAATTGATCTGAATCAACGCTTTCTTAATCTTCTTTGCTTGTTTCTAGTCAACCAACTTGTTTTCATTTTGATTTTATTTACCTTTATTATATACATAATGTGTTTCTATTATGTTCATCCTTTTCAAGCTATCATTTTGTAAAACAGGGTTAAGGCAGTGTCCTTATATGTAGGCTATGTCCTTGTTGATTTTTCTATGCTGATGATACAATTGAATTAGTTTATTATCAGTTATTTAAACATTTGTTAACCTCGATGTTAAGTGCCTGAGGCTCCTTGAAAACAAGATATCTGAAGTCTCAAGGGGGTCCATCTTCTTATTACATCATTAAATAAATAAATGATTTATCTGTTTGACCTGATCAGGTGATTGGCAGCTCGCTCCTCTTTGTCCACGACCACAGCAGCAAGGCCAGCGTGTGGATGATAGACTTTGGGAAGACGACCCCTTTGCCTGACAGGCTCGAGCTCCGACACAACATCCCGTGGGCCGAGGGGAGCCGGGAAGACGGCTACCTCATCGGTCTGACGTCCCTCATCACTTCTCTGAGCCAGGCCATCAGTGTGGCCTCCTCTCAGCAGGAGGACAGCTGCGGAGAAGAGCAGAGTGTTGCATGAAGTACACTGAGAGATGTGGGGGTGACCAACTCCCACTAAATAACACTTATATTCAGGATCAGATGGATAAATCACTGCTGTTACACTTTGACCTGTTGCAATCGTTAGATTCTCTATCTGGAAGACGCACAGCAGGGGAGGATTTGTTTATGGGGGGATCTTCCTCAAAGGCAGGGGAAGAGGACTGACGGCGTATTATTTAGATAATATCAATAGAAATGTAATGTGGTTGTCTTGCAATTGTACATCTGGCATGTACCGTAAAAGTAGAGACAGTGTTTAAATACTTTTTCTCCTTTTTTGTTTCCTTTTTTAATATTTGTAAAGGACCAAATACTGTTAACAAAAATAAATACTAAATGCATTGATAAACAAGAAGATTTTGCTTTATTTAAGCATTTTAATTATTTTGCCTTCATATCATGCAGCTAAAATGTTTATTTTTCCTCTTAAAAGGTGTACAAAAAAGACATACTTATAGTTAATTTAATTTAACTTATATTAGACATAAGACAGTCCAAGCTAATCGAAATGAACAAATCATGACACTATCCGGTCTTTTTCCATATAACTAAAGCTGCAACAAACAACTGTTGTTATTATTGATTACTATTGATTAACTCATTGAGTAACCTGCTAACAATTTTATAGATTAATCAATTCACATTTTGGTAAATAAAAAGTGTATATCCCAGTTTCTCAAAGATCAAAATCATGGTGTTAAACGTCTTGATTAGTCAGTCTATAGATATTTAGTTATACATTATATAAAACAAAGAAAAGCAGGAACTCTTCATATTTGAGAGGCTGAAAAAAGGACTTCAAATGATTTATCGAATAGACCCAAGTTAACATGCTTAATCTGTGATGATTGATAGAATGAGACAAAAACGTATAATCATGTGGAATCAACATGGGTGGGGAAAAACCAAGATATAAAAAGTATTTACCATATACAGAAATAATCGTTTTACTCATGGTGTAGGTTTGCACCCACAAATGGGAAATTGTCTTATATGACTTTATTCTGCAACTATAATAGGTATCATATGTATGAGGCAGTGAATACAAAGTGAGAAGCCCTCTCTGAATGTGTCCGAGAACAGATGAGCGGACGGGCATGTTCCAGGATGTAGAGACACTGAGCCCACAATAGTGGCACAAAGCCCAGACCTGGCAGCAGACTCAGGGGGAGATTTAAGAGGCCAGGTGCCTGAAGCCGGGACCAATGTGTATCCGGCCAACTCAGAATGCCCGAGCAAATACAATGATCTGATGGGGTTACCTCAACCTGAGGGCGTCAGGGAGTGGAAGGATCTGCAGCCTAAAATGAAATAAATGAATCTGTTCAAAGCCATCCTTTGTTATATTCCAGACAGAGCTAACCATTTGCTTGCCTTTGTCCTCACTGACCCATAGACAGGATGCCATAAAACAAACTGATCTCATACTGCTCTGGTTGGTAGTCATGACTCATGAGTCATGATTAATAAAATAGGTGAACAGTTTCCTTTACATGGGGTCCCACTTTGTGTAGAGTAATATGTTTCCGATATGCAATTATAATGCATACAAATACATTAAAAATAAATTAAAGTACTAAACATATAGTATATCTATACATGGGTGACATATCCCACTCTTTACGTATCAATATGAATGAATATTTCAATGTATTTGCAGACAATCAGATTAGTATAAAAACATAAAGGAATGGTACCGAATAACAAGATTTAGTATGATTAGATTAAATGAATTTGGAGATACATGTGTACTTGATTCAATCACACCACAAAACATTGCTAAATCTAACTAAAACATAAACTCCAGAAGTGATACTAAAAGAAAAGCCGTTTTGGAGCCGCAGGATCCGGATCACATTGCCTTACCGAGTCAAGTGATCCGGCTCATTAAAAAGAGCCGTAACACCCAAGTGATGTGATCCATTCGGGTCCAAAGTGAGCACCAGGTGGCACCATTCATTTGGTTCGTGCTGGATAAAAGTTAGCGGTACAGTCAGGCCGATACCAGCGGGGACTGCAGACAGGGACACATTTAGCCTATAACATCTATATTATATTTATTACCGCGTTAGAAGAAATTGATCGGGAAATATTGTTTGGTAGTGTCTGTAAGTGCAGCAGAGTGCCGTGCTAAGCTAACAGCTAAGCTAGCTTGACAACTTTACCGCTCATCTGACCGGGTGAAGTTGTACACAAAGGACAGGCCACGTGGATATTTTTCTTTTTTAAATGCTTTCCTTGTGAACATGTTCCTGAAGGCTGGGCCTGAAGAGTTCTCCTGGATGGATCGTGTGAATTTATCCGAGAGAAGCTACCCAAACCTGGCTGTGGTGACACGTGTTTTGGATGACAGTAAGTTTGGTTGATTACATCCAAGGTCACAACCTTGTAGCCTCAATGTAGACCAGTTTTTCTTTGGGGTAAATTCGAGTAATTATGGGAGTTAAAATATATATATCGATAGGGATCAATCTGACAGGGATGACATGGTTTACTAGTTGAACATTTACAAATAAATAAAGTTAACCCTCTATGGCATGACCTTTTATTTTGGGAGGAAATGTTTCAATGTGTTTTAGGAGCTTAGGGGTCCCTGATATTATATCAATTATAAAATGTGACCCCCCCCCCCCCCCCCCCCCCACACCCCTCAACCAGGGGTTGGTTTGTTTCCTCAGGGCAACAATGTGCTAAGAGGGTATTGAAACACCAAGGATTTCTACAATTCAGAAGAAATAGAAAAAACAACTCTATATGAGTTCAAAAGGTTTTCTGTGTGTGTGTGTGTGTGTGTGTGTGTGTGTGTGTGTGTGTGTGTGTGTGTGTGTGTGTGTGTGTGTGTGTGTGTGTGTGTGTGTGTGTGTGTGTGTGTGTGTGTGTGTGTGTGTGTGTGTGTGTGTGTGTGTGTGTGTGTGTGTGTGTGTGTGTGTGCGCGTGCGTGTGCCTAACCCTATCTTGATCTTCACTGTCAGACGGAATAGCCCTAACACAGGGTTGCCAACTCTCACGCATCTGGCGTGTGACACACGCTTTCACTCTCAACCTCACGCTCTCACGCTGCCCAAACTATTCTCACGCCAAAAACAAGAATACCGAAGACTAGAAACGGTTTTCAAAACTTTTGTCACGTAGTGATCGTCTTCTCAATAGAACATCTTTGATAATGTCTTCTGGCCAATCAGAATCACGATAACGGCGTGGTGTTGTTGCAGGAAGTCCCGACGGAGAATACTTTTGCGGTAGGACATCTCTATACATCGATACAACATTACGTGTTGATAGAAAATCAACACGTAATGAAATAAGACCCCACGGTTTGATGATTGATAGGTGTGTGGGCTGTCTTTCATTTTGACACACAGAACAATGGGGGCTATCCACCCTTATCCACAATGTAAAGTAATTCACACAGCCTCGTCCCTCTTCTCTCTGTGAGGAGCAGCAGGTTCAGCTTTCAGAACAAAGTAACAAAAAACTAAAATGGCATTCATTTTTTTAAATATGTCGTGTGGTAATAGATTTATTTATTTTTCTTCTCAAGAGAGTACCAGAATGTGTATTTGATGTTAGTATTTAAAAAAATCTCCTGGGGGAGAATCCCCCCAGACCCCCCTGCAGGGGTTGGGTTTTCAGCATGTCAACTCTTTCACTTGTGGGGAAATTGCAGGATTGGCTCCAGGTCGCCCTTTTTATTTACTACAAGACAAATGTGCCTTTTTATTTCATACAGTTCAATTTGGATTGAGACAGGGAAATAATCTAAACCTCACGCGTGGCGTTTCACTGTCGGAGGGAGCGTGTATGTAATTACATTGCAAATACTGACTTGAGCCCCACCACTGTATGGGTTAGCCCTACCATAGATTACCCAACAAAAATACTCTGGAGCCGCAACTGCCGACCCGTATTGCGCATGCGCAGATCTAAGATCCAGTAGAAATGATACAAAGTAAAAGTCTGCTGCTTATTGTTCTACTAGGCCAAAATAGAGTCAAAGAGTATATGAGAGTGAGAGTGTGTTAATTAATATATTTGGCAGTTTGGAGTAAGTCTGTAGATTTGTTTGTGTGTGTGTTTCATGTATAGGCCTCACGATAATTAATTTTGTGGATACATTTTCCCGGAAATTATTGCGATAAACGATAATATTGTCGGCACCGTTGTATCATATGACCATTTTAGACCACTGACATAATAATATATAATAATAATTAAAGTACATCCTTTCAAACTGCTAGTCACATCCTCATGTAAATGGCAATTTATCGAGGTCAGAAAAGTTATCGAGTTCATTTTTATTTATCGTACGATAAGTCAATTAATTGCTTATCGCGACAGGCACACAATAAAACAGTGGAAACAAACATGTTTGACTTTCATTAGTGAATGAAACTGTGTGCCCTTTATAATCTGTGTCCATTATTGTGTATTTGTATATATTGTATATATATCCTATATATATGCTAAGGTCTCGCTGCTGACACGATAGCAGTCATTTCATGCGCATATGTGTAATTAAACCGAATTAAACCCATGATATCAAAATCTCACTCCAGCCAGGTACCCAAAGTTGGCAACCCTGCCTAACAGCCTGATCGTGTCCCTTCTGCCCATAACATGTTTTGGTGTCCATTTCCTGTAAATATCAGTAGATGGTAAAGTAAAAACATTGACTAGGTTTATCATTTTACAGCTGAGCACATTTGCAAACTTGCATGAAATTGCCTGGTCAAGTGGCACAGTGTTACCCTGAGGCAACGAACAAAAAAACATAGTTTTAGCTAATTAATAAATACATAATAAGTCTTTAAACAATCAAATATACTTCTTTACGTATTCATGCACATGCATGTAATTTTTATTTTAAGTTGTGTACATTTCTAATATGTTAAAAAGTGAAATGTATCTTACCAAGTGGTGACCCTGCAGCTTTGCTTGCAGAAAGGACTGCTCCACCCCCAGAAAAAATGCCACACCCATATAATTCCCTCATTTTATTGGACACCAGCATGTCAGGTGACATTGTGTATATTTAAAAAAATAAAAATATTTAGAGGACCAGTGTGAGGTCGAAAAAAGTGGTTTGTTGCCTGAGGGCAACAGTATGCCATAGAGGGTTAAATTGGCCCTGTCAAAGTGTCCCTGCACCAGTGAGTGGCAGACCCTGAAAACTGTAGGCCTACTGTTAGATTGATAAATCACGAAAAAGGTCACCACTGAAGCCAGTTGCAAATGGCAATGGCTCACTGAGGGAGCTGACAACACCTACAAATGCAGAATGTTTGAATAAAATGTTTTATTGTTGATTTTTAAAATGTAAATTATTCACTTAATCACTTCATCAATACATTTTCTGATGAAAAATAATGCATTTTTTACAAATGTTAGGTTTCCTATAGTAGATAAAACATTTAACTTCTTTATTTTGAACAACGCATGACTGATTACCTGTTTATTCAAACATTTGTGGTAGGCTGAATTAAAACATGGTTGTAGTGCATGTATATGCAATACTTAAAACATTTATGACATATTTTATATACACAGATACAAAACCGTAGTTTACTACACATGTACACAGATGTCAACATGAATGTAGTACCTGTATATTTATAATGAGAAGTAATAGATAGCAGAATCATACATTTTAAATAAAATGAATTTACTTTTGTCTATTGGTGCATAACATTGACATAGTAGGAGATAATTAAATACAACAATATATCAAAACATTGATAGAGAATAGAAGAAATTAAATGAATGTTAAATATAACACAATAAATGGTATTTGAAGGTATAATTATATCTCAGGCTCAACCTCGACTACCATATAGACAAAAGTATTTAGCCAGAACTTAATCAATAAGATTTTCTTTTTTATTATTAAAATAATACCAAACACTGGCTTTTGGTCTTTGAACAGAATCATTTGAAAACAGTTAATGCTTATGTCTATATAAGGTATGGATTTCTCTCCCTGAGACAATAGTTATTTGAGATGTGCAGGTTATACTTCACACATGTATATGGTTACACCACAAGCAGAATGAGCGGCTCCCTAGATTCACAAATACACGAACATGCTGTTTGTTGACTTTATTGTTATCATTTCTACGTTGGTTACCATAACAGTCAACGGGCAAACCCTGGGCTGAATGCTGCTCGGCTTTCGTCCGTGTGTCCGTAGAACAACATGGGGACATTTAATATAGCATTGGAGTTTATTTAATGTCGTCTAGTGTTTAACTACGTTGTTGGACATCCCTCATTATGGCTTTGCGTTCACTGGACCGAACTTTTCCAAGTAGGTTTCACAGTAACACTACAGCAGCTGGAGCTAACTACTCATATCAAAGCTAATGTTAGCCATGCTTAAAGGTTATATTGTGATGCGTTTAGTTTTGTGAGTGTATTAAGCGTTCGACCTCAAATTAAATAGTTGTTTGTTTAAAGTCCCCGCGCTATGTTCTTGCCCCGGAAGAGAAAAAGCGTTGTATTTCCGCTGCCTTCCCGTCAACGAACAGACAGAAGGAGAAGCTAGCTAGCATAGCCACATGCTAGTTAGCACTCAGACACGCCGTGCTCGCCATTGTGTCTCCTCTGAAATTACTTATTTCACAGCCTTGTGTTTGTGGTTCTTCAAAGAGAGAATCGAAGCCGTGCCACTATTGTTTTTCCACGAAGTGCTGTGGTTTTTTGTTGTTGATCTAACACGGTTCCAGAAATATGGCTGAAGGAGGAAACTACTACAACGGTAAGACCTGTTTACTTGACCATTAACCACGCATCTTCTGTGCTACTTGTGCCGTTTCTCTTCAGACCGAGGGGAGTTTATGGTGAGGAGGGAGGTCAGGAGCACTGGTTGCATGGTATTTGGAGGTAAACTTATATGTTAGGCTAGCCCTCGAGATCTAATAATGTTACCTAATAGATATAAATATTTACCCATAACTTTATTATTATTATACCAAAGCATAGCTTATAGTCTTTGAACGGAATGTAAATATGTAGGTCAATAATTAATGTTTTTTTCTTTCTGAGACATTAGATATGTGAGCTGTGCAGGTTATACTTCACTCACACTGCAAGCAGAATGAGCAATTATGGCTCCTTACATTCACTGCCATTGTCTCATCATAGTGGATTATTTAAAATGTGCCTAGAGGCTACATCTTTGATTTATATGTTAACATTTGGTATGATATAATTTTGATTAGTTTATTATTTTTTTATCGTGTATGTTCGTGGAGAGATATTTCATTAAAATATAACTGATATTTGAACTTTTTAGAGCATGATGACAGAACCGGACCACAGTTTCGCAGCCGCAAAGGAAGAGGCTCCCACAAGGGTCGGTCATATGAAGGGTCCCGCAGGGTCCGCCAACGGGGAAGCCACTCTGGAGACATCGGGGGTCCTGGGCCACGATCTCGGTTTGACGATACTGACGTAGATGTAACTATGAGTGACAGCTCTCAGGACAACAGCTCTCAAAACAGATTGTAAGTGAGGGTGACCAACTGACAGACCCAGTGTGTATGGTAGTTTAACATTGTCCTCAGATATGTATGTATGTATGTACAGAATTTGGGGGGGACATCACCTCCTCTAGGGGGGTCCGGGGGTTAACAAACATGTTCATACAATACTGAATACATTTGAAGCCTTTTTGATGTATATTACCTATGTCAATACATTTCTGTTTTTGTAGTGTATTTGTCTTTTGTAGAGATTTTTCATTTATTCTCTATATATATTCTATACGGGGGGGGGGGGGCGCCAGCTAAAATCTCTCCTAGGGCATCAAATTGTCTAGAACCGGCCCTGTATATGTATGTATACAATCATACAGGTCTTAGAGCCTGTAAAGCCTCTTACACGCCGATTATCGGCGTCGATAGATGTCGGGCCGTCGATGAGCGTCGTGTCGCCCTACTCAGATTGGTGTGTACTGCACCATTGTGTCTTTTCGGCCATGCCGACACCTTCCGCCGCCGATTCGACATGTTGAATCGGGGGGGCCGTCAGCCAAAGAAATCACTCTGATTGGCTGTTCAGCTTAGCGAATCAGTGCATGAGAAGCGAAACGGAAGTGAGGGACCCAAACAAACTATTAAGAAGGCAAATCTGAGATTTCATTTAACTCCAGCTCTCGACACAGGTTCGGGAAAGCCCCATGAGCTTCTCGGTGTAGAGTGAAAATGGAACGCACACGCTATTTGTTGTTTGTTTATATCACGCAGTGCGAAACATGGCCAAGACGCAGGAGACGTGAGCCGACGTTCCGTCGGGACGTGTTCTTTGGTGTCAGTTTGGTGTGTAAGAGGCTTTAAAGCTAGTAGTGTAAAAGCAGTCATAAAACATAAGGAAAACAGAACAACGGCTTTTCTTTGATGTTTTATTAGGTAACAAGTGGATTCTAAATAAGTGTTAACCCTCTAAGATAGGTGAAAAACATTTGGTGTAAACACAATTGTTCCAATGGTGGACCCTGACTAAAGGAGAAATGTCTTGTTTTGTCTTTAGCACCCCATATGGAAGACCCGGTCGGAAAGGAGGAGACGGACGCTTTGACAGAGACAGGCCACAAGGCAGAGTAGGCGGTGGGAGAGGGGGAGGCAGAGGCCGAGGTGGAGGTGGAGGCAACAACGGAGGCAAAAGCCGTTCAGGCTGGTATAAAGTAACGGTGGGTATTATAACAGTTTCAACTGGCCATCCATGCTTCTGACTCAAAACCTGTTTAATAAGACCTTATTATCACCTTGTCTGTTTGGCAGATACCACATGGAAAGAAATATGACAAGAAATGGTTATTGCCAGCTCTTCAAAACATCTGTACGGTTCCCTACACACCAGTACAGGTGAGGTTCAGCGATGCTTTTTATTAATATGACATTATTTACATATTTCAAGAAAGGCTATGTGTATTTCGGAAAATACCGTCTTTGTATATTTAAAATGTAATTATTTCTCCTTCTACCCCACTATCCAGTACCATGTTGACCATACCAGGGCCCATTTTTATGTGGATGATTCCTCTACTGCCAATGCTTTGCACAAATGTACTCACAAGATCACAGACACGGATGGATATAAGGTATGTTGTGTTAATAACGGAACTCTCTCACACACACACATTTTTAAAGTTTGTTTCTTAATGAACAATCTTCTCGTTTGCATCATTAGATCATGGTTACATGATGTTACATAATGTTTGTTTTCTTTTAAAGGTGGAAGTTCATGTCAACCCCAGCGCACCACCATCCTGCCTCCAGTCTGATCTGAAGCCTGAACACTTGGAGCATCTGAAGGTGAGCTGGAGGAAGTAACAACATCTGAAGGCGCTTGTTTGTTTTTTGGGAGATTCCCTCACTCTGTACCCCAATCAAAACATATAGAGTGCAGGGTGCGTACGGGTGCTGGAAATCCTTGAAAATGCTTGAAATTGTACGAGGTGTTTTCAAGGTTTGAAAAGTGCTTGAATTTTGGGAATGGTGCTTGAATTTGGGATAAAGTGCTTGAAATTGTAAATGCTTTACTTCGCTTTTTAGATTAAAAGAAAATAAAGAAGTCGGAGCGCGCTTAATTGCTTCGCTTTTACATAAAACAGCTCCGCTCCGGCCTTCCCGCGCTATGCGCGTGACCGGCAAGTGTTTTTGTTACGTGTGTGACCTGGGCATTCTGATGAGAGTGATAGATGACAGTATGCCAGGAGGTTGCCGTTTCAACGAGCGTTGGCTAGCAGAAGACAAATACAAGCCATGGCTAAGACGAGGGTCAAGCGAAGCCCAAGAGTAGCCTCCTGCAAAGTGTGCAACAATAACGATGCGAGAGTCTGCGCTGACGAGCCACACACCACACGAAAGGTACGCTGTCGTAGAACATTTTAGATTAGGCTATCGTTGCATGTAAAATACATGACACTTTTCTCTGTGCGCGGCAAAACAAGCTCGCCAAAATGGCTTCACTAGTCTGGCAGTATTTTAAGTGTCCGAAAATGACAATAAAATAGCGGTATGCAACGTGTGTGTGAAGCAGAAATCCTGCAGCTCCACCCGCTGTGACGGACCAGTGAGCGAAGCAGAACACACATTAAGAGTTAGACCTAACACACTTAGCTATTTTATCTACCTCTGGAACAAGCTAAACTAGTTATAAATATATTTATTCTTCACTGTCGGGTCGCTCATTACTGGATCAGTGAGCTGCAGGAGATACTGACGGGCTGTCAGGAGAGAGAGAGAGGGGGAGAGAGGAAAAGAGTGATATCGGTATCGGCCGATACTGATTCCGGCGATCGGCTCCAAAATTGGCGATCGGAGCATCCCTAATAATTGTATATGATATGTTTTATAATGATTGATCATGAAAGTGTTATCAAAGCTGGTAAAGGTGCAGCTAGTTTGAATGACTTTGTATACTACAGAGTAGCTTGTGAATTTACTCCAGGTGGAACTAAAGTCTGATTTAACACTTGATTATATTTCACATCATTCATCCACATCTGTAAAGTAACTAAAGGTATTAAATACATGTAGTGGAGTCAAAGTACACCATTTACCTCTGACTTGTGTTTACTGCCAACCTAAAAGTACCTCAAAAATAGTAATCAATAATATATTGAAAAGTTATTTGGCTGATTGTTTTATATTGGCTCAGCCAGGTTATATGGGATGCCCAGTCTACGTACAGATGGGTCACCCATTTTTAAACTTAGTTTTCTTTTCTAACATTTTTAATTTTTCATCCTCATGTAGAATGCTATTATGAAACACACATTTGGTTGTTTATAGCATAAAGAACATCTGATTTAATGTGAGGTAGGGAAATAATCATTTGAGTATAAGTATGTGTGTATAAATATGTAATTTACAACAGCTGTAAGATGCTTGAAAAGCTTGAAAATGCACCTTGAAAATGCTTGAAAAGTGCTTGAATTTGACTTTGGAAAAGGTGTAAGAACCCTGAGAGTGGTGCAGGGATGACGTATTTATCCGGAAATAAGCTGCACATGGGTTCCCTCGACAAAAAAGCAATGGGATTTCTCCATAGGATTTTGAAAAATAGCTCGAAATAAGGTCTGTGGAAACAAACCTGTTAGTTTAATGCACGTTTTGTTCAGCCGGATAATTTCCACATGTCTACCCTACTTTTATAATTTTCGAATCATAAATCTAATCGCCAGAAGCAAAATGCTAACGTTATGCTATAAACGAACTACAGCAGGGTCGCTGCTTCAACGTCACGCCAACTTAAGATCGATATTCAAAAATACAGATTCAAAATTGTAGAAGTTGAAGCGTTTGTTTTAACAGTTTGCAGGAGGCAGGTACTTGCTTTCAAGCAGAACAGGGCAAACAAACTTAGAGGAGTGTGTTCGGCGTAATGACGTACAACGTCCTCGACAACTTCTGTAGTCCTATTCAACCACTTGTTAACAACCATCGTTTTTCAGACACGTAAACTCTTCAAAAGTCACCAGTGGGGTCACTGCTGATGGATTTAATGTCGTAGAACAAAACGTGATCCGTCTCTTCACTTTGTGTCAACCACAGACCTTATTTCGAGCTATTTTCCAAAATCCTATGGAGAAATCCCATTGACTCTGAGACGAGGGAACCGGTAGTGGTAAAATGCTAACTCACTTCCGGGTTTTAGGATTCGTCACTGCACCACTCTATTGAAGGACGTTTATATTCATTGTGACGAATATTTTTGTGTTGAGATACGACCTCTCACATTCTTCTTTTTTATGTTTCACAGCAATGCATGGCAAAACGTTTTGATGGCTCCCAGCAAGCACTGGACTTAAACAACATCCGAACAGACCCTGGTAAAAACATTACTCTGTCAACAATTTTTACACACAAATCCTATGTATTAATTTATATATATATTAATGAAAAGATTAAACACATATTCAAGCCGATACTTACAATCTATACTAGACGAGTTGTTACAAGTTCCTATACAGGTGGGACTGTTCAAAAATAACTAAACATTATAGTATTCAAGATATATGATTATAATTTTACATACAAAAAAGTGTGCTATACATATATAGTTTTTGTGATGTCAGTAAATGTTCACTACAGTGTGGTTTGACATGTTTTGAAAATGCAAAGATGGTGCAGCCATTCTGGTGATTTAAATGTAACCTTGCAGAGCTCAAGGACCTGAATGTCACTGAAATTATTTTCAAATGCTGAGTATTTTGTTGCCAATTTTATTTTGTGTGACAGACCTGGTTTCCCAGAACATTGAAGTCATCTTGAATAGGAAGACGAACATGGAAGCTGTCATCAATATCATTAAAGAAAACATCCCAGAGGTAAAATAAACACACTTTGTGGTGGAAAAAGCAACAAACTATTTGCCGTTGCCCTAACAAAGGTGCTGATGGTAGCTGCTTTTTGATAAAGTGATGGGGGAAACTGAATGTGCTTATCCAAGTCTCTCTGTCTCTTGTCAGCTGACAGGCTTGAACCTGAGTAACAACCGTATTCACAAACTGGATGAACTCACAGATTTGGTTTCCAAGGCACCTAATCTGAAGACCCTCAACCTTTCCCACAATGAGGTGAAATTGGCCACTGTTGATCGAGATAATTAAAACCAGACCCTAAACCTGACCTTACGTTTTAAATTTCCATCTAATGCTAACTTGTTCTGTTACCGTGTGCTCCTCCAGCTGAAGACAGACCGGGAGCTGGACAAGGTGAAAGGCTTGAAGCTGGTGGAGCTGTGGCTGAACAGGAACCCTCTGTGCGACTTCTTCAAGGATCAGGCCTCATACATTAGGTCAGTCAGCGATTTTGGGGGTTGAGGGTAGAAGATTTATGAAGGTGACACAGTAATCTGACAGGGCGTGCAAGTGAGGGTGTCTGGGAGTCTTTCCTGAATGACAAAAATATGCAGCAACATCTACAAAATATCAAGCAAGCCTTTGTAAGCGTGTCTGAGATGCCTGAACAATTACTGAAACCGTAATCTAACAATCGAGGATTATCAGGACTAATCAGAGCCTGCTAACCTTCACCATTAACTCACTTTATTCCTGTGGCGAAAGTGAAACGAGAAATGAAACCTGCATTCATTCTTAATCCGTTTAGATGGTTTTTTCTTTGGGTTGTTTTACATGGTCCTTTCAATTTGTGATTAGCATCCCCCCCCCCTTAAACTAACCTAACCTTTTTTTTGCCTCCAAAAGTTGCTGAGAAGACCTCTAATCACAAAACACTTCTACGTTGTTTTCTTGTTCAGCTTACTTAAACTCTCCAGTATTAACAGCCATCTTTTCTCTGTGGGACAAACTTTCAAGCTTTGATCCCTTTTATGGTTCTCAGTGATGCTGTACCCAGCTCTCCCCTCCTGACATCCTGGTTTCGTTATCCAATAAACTGCTCTAAAACACCTTAGCACTGCTAAAGATATACAACTCTAAGAAGAAGCACTTAAATGATATAAAAACAAATAAAAAACACCTTCAGCTTGACAACCCTTTTTAATAAAATGTTCTGTGAACTGCTTTAAAAAATATGATTCCACAGCAATCTCTTGAGCAGTACTGTAAAACATTGTAGGTTATTTTGAATGAAGAGAGGGCAATCTACCGTTGACAGTGAATGAAACAGAGAAAAGCCACAAATGATGAGTTCCCCTCCCCTTGTAGCACCCTTGCCCACGCGGCCCACTGTATCAGGCGAGTATGGAAGGCTGGATAGCTCATGACGGGTAAGATCCCACCTCAAAATCCCGGGACGACCTAAGGCAGGCACAGTCACGATTACTCGGCCTCAGCCCCTGTGAACTCTGACTGAATGAAAACGCAAGAAGAAGAATTAAGAAGACTGGGCGCTACAGAAAAAGCTGTTGGGCTGAGGTGGAGGGGGATACGTGTCATTATCAATGACCAAGAATGGGCCAAAGAGAGAAAGCAGTCTGTCTCTTCGACTAAGTTGGTCTCCTTTGGCCTGAAACAGACCTCTGCTGTTCAGAGAATGAAGTGGGAGAGTTCGATAAGGCCCCTGACTGACGTGTTCTGAACTGGAAATTGAGTTCCAGTTTGTCCAGTAAAGAAAGAGTTCCACTTCCTCTTTGTGATGACTGTGACCAGTACAGAAAAGCTCAAATATAAAGCAGGAGAAGCCGAGCAGAGAATTATCTCTCCAGTCCAAATGTTTAATGACCTCCAAGTCCCTCTGTAACCAGAGGTGTTGACCAAAATCAAGCTTCAAAAATAAAAGCTTGCAACATAAAGTCTTGTCCTTGTTCGTGCATAAACACCATCACCACAGAATTGATGGTCTATGAGAGGGCTATTCAATTAGTTTGGAATGGGGTGAAAATGGGGATGAAAATGATCCAAAGCAAGGGGCCGGGAAAAATATGGCTTGAAATATGAGCAATCATAATTAAGAGCTTCAGATACAGTAAATACTACAACAGCATAGTGGAGTGCATATATTGTGTTTAATTAAATCAAACAACATAGCCCCAAGGCCTTTACAAAACTCCCAAGGCCTTTCAAAACTCAGTACATGTGAAGCTAATTTAACCATCAACATCATTTGATTTAATTTAGGTGAAATTATCTAATCATTCACGCAGAGATGCAATAAATGACTACAGTAGCTAGTAGGTGGGTTCGAAACCCGAGCCCGCAGAAGTTTTCAGGCATTGTCTTCCCCTCTCTCTCAATTTAACACCCTCTCTGGAATAAAGGCACTCTGGCCCAAAAAAAAAAAATCTTTAAAAAAAAATGTGATTCACTTTTTAACATTATACTCAAAGGGCCAGTAAATATCACCCGGGGTCGGATTTGGCCCGCGGGCCGCCAATTGAATAGCCCTGTTCTATGAGATGTGTAGCTGCTTTGTGTGTGCAGCAGGGGAAGAAACCAGGATGAGTGGTGGGCCTGCTGCGTTCAGCTCACTCTGAAGTCCGCTGTCCTTTTTATTCAGCTCTGTTCTCAGGTTGACTTTCCCTGCTGATAATCTATGGCTTAGACACCAACAGAGTCTTAATGGATACTTATTAGAATTCATTTTAGACCACTTGTGCTGTGTTTGTGTGCATTTTTTAATTTATATATTTTTTTTCCCAGAGTTGTTTTTGTTTTTAGTGGCGTAGACTCTTCTGCTCCCGTACACTGCCAGAGTTTGGGGGCAGGGGAACACAACACTGGTGGTAACCACCTCTCTCCCAGCAATGCCCAACTTCTTTATTTTACTAATGCAAAAAGGGTGCTGGTTCCTGTGCAGTCTGGTAGACCATGGGTCTCTGCCTGTTTGTATGTGTGTGTGTGTGCGCTCTTAGAAAAGTTTGCTTGTATTGCTTCCCTATGTCAGATCTGTGTATATCTCCATATTGGGGGAGAGGATGAGTATACCAACTGGTAAGTACACTTTGGGGTGGGATCATTCTTGTAGCATGAAACTCAAGGAATGAAAAGAGTGCAAATAATAGTCCATCATTACTTGTAAAGATTAAATCCCACTGGCTTTAGTTACATATGCATCTATACATAATTGTGTTCTCTCAAATGTTTTTTGACAGTGTCAGCCTAATGACATAAGTTGAGGAACAAAATGACATTAAATTGGTCAGCAGGTGTGAGTGACAGTGCTACTTTCAGTAATGAGCATGATTTTATTTGTGTGTGTCGTGTAGTTCTGATCATAACCTTCTCTTAATTTTTGTTCTGTACCAGTGCTGTGCGGCAGAGGTTTCCCCGGCTTCTCAAACTCGTAAGTCAACACATTTATCTCCTCACTTCACTTGAATAATGGTCATGTTTAGGGATGCTCCGATCGATCGGCCACCGATCGATATCGGCCGATACTCACTCTACCGATCGATCGGTGCTCTCTAAAAATGCCGATCGCGAGAGCCGATTGCATGACGTAAAATTATGACGTAAAATACATGACACTTTTCTCTGCGCGGCAAAACAAGCTCACCAGTCTGGCAGTATTTTAAGGTGTCCGAAAAGGACAATAAAATAGCGGTATGCAGCGTGTGTGAAGCAGAAATCCTGCAGCTCCACCCGCTGTGACGGACCGGTGAGCGGAGCAACACACACACACTAAGAGTTAGACCTAACACACTTAGCTATTTTATCTACCTCTGGAACAAGCTAAACTAGTTATAAATATGTTTATTCTTCACTGTCGGGTCACTCATTACTGGATCAGTGAGCTGCATGAGATACTGACAGGCTGTCAGAGAGAGAAAGAGAGAGAGGGCTTCCGCTCATTTCTCCCGTGTTATTTTCCAAAGTTAATGTAAACTTGAATAATGTACTTCATTTGAATGTAACAATTATGTTTGTTGTTTGTGGAAGTGCCAGTGAATGAGCCCCATTAACTGAGTTTTAAACATCACTTTAAATGGAAGATCCCCATAGGCCCTGCCCACTCGATCGGATCGGTGATCGGTATCGGCCGATACTGATTCCGGCGATCGGCCTCAAAATTGGCGATCGGAGCATCCCTAGTCATGTTCTACATTCATAACACTATGAGATGTTTTAGGATCTGTCTGCAGTATTTAACCAGCAATTAATTGCGATGTTTGCGAAATGTGCAATACATTTTCTGAAACACATTAGCTTTTTCTGGATGCGGTCAAGTTGCTAAATTAAATCAGGGATTGTTCAAACACTTGAAAGTTAAAAAAGTACTTAATTTAAACTGTTGTGTTTTCAAACTAAGGATTTTGCTTGAATTTGCATGTTGTTTTACAAATGTTTTAAATACCCATTGATTGGTGTTGATATAAAGGAATACTGTAAACCATTTTATTTTGTAGTTGCATTTATAGTTACAAATTTAGAAAACGATAACAAATTGGATAAGTAATTTCTCTCATGTGTCTTTATTCATGTGTGGTTTATTTCAATAGGATGGTCATGACCTCCCTGCTCCCATTGGATTTGATGTGGAAACCCCCACAACTATCCCCCCCTGCAAGGTTTCTTGTTTTTATCTTGTGATTACTTGTATATCTTTCCTGTGAACCTCTTGAACATCTCTTTCAGGTTTCAAAACAATCAATATGTCCTTTATGTAGCTGACCTTTTTTTTTTCTTTTGACAACCCAGGGCAGCTGTTTTGGCTCTGATGATATCAAGGTCCTCATCCTTCGCTTCTTGCAACAGTGAGTTTTAACTTTTTGTATGTAAACAATCTTCTCACAACAGCCGGGCCTGTTCCAGAAAATAGTGTTTGGTTAAGACGGGGACCTACAGGAGAGGGCATAAAAACAAAGTCAAGAGATATGTCATGTGTTGCAGGTACTACAGTATATACGACTCCGGGGACAGACAGTCACTCTTGGATGCCTACCATGATGGAGCATCGTTATCCCTGACAACACCGTACTCCACCCAGAACCCCTCCAGGTACAAACACACCCAAAGACACAAACTTCTGTATACATGTGGCAACACCAATAACATATCGATGTATAAATGTAATGTTTTACTTTGTTTCTCAAGTTGAAATTTAGATAGATCTTTTGTTTACATCATTTTGTCTTGTGTGCTTCTCATTTCCCCAATGACACCTCTATATGGGTCTCTGAAGTATTCACATGTATTCCATCTGTCCCTGTCTCCTGGTTTTAGGAGCAGCCTTGGGGAGTATCACAAAGACACTCGAAACCTGAAGAGGATCAAAGACACCAGTGAGTTTATCTATTGAGATGTTCACATGGTCTCTGAATTGGTTGAGACTGAATATTTCTGTGATTTGAGATTCCTCCTTATGTTTCCTTCTCTGAATCTTGCCTCTTTTAGCGGTTCGGTTTCGACTTCTGAAGCATACACGACTGAACGTGGTGGCTTTCCTCAACGAGTTGCCCAAAACTCAGCACGACATTGCCTCTTTTAATGTCGACGTAAACACCTTCACGGTGAGATCATGTTTGTTCGGTCAGACTCAGCTAGTACTTGTCATTAACCTTACCCTCTCACTGTGAGTCATGTATCTGTACTAAACCTGCAAATATGTTTCCCGTTTGCAGAACACACTATTATCATTCACAGTGAGCGGAGTCTTCAAAGAAGGTAAGTTGTACAGTCATCATGTTTTATAAGATAAGATGGTACTTTATTGATGCCAATTTTTAAAATGTTTGTGTTGCAGCAGCATAAAAAGACAAGGCATTGGTCAATAAAAATGTTTTGTTCTTCTCTGTAAGGATGAGTAATGTTGATGTTGTTGCTAATGTGTCTCATGTTTCTTCTTCAGTTGCTGTTGATGGTAAATCCCGAGAGTCGACAATGGCTTTCTCCCGGGTCTTCGTCACAGTCCCAGCAGGGAATAACGGGTACGTTTAGTGAGCTCCCAATGGTTTGTATCATCTTCCTGTTGTCATCCACAATTTCCCTGAGGAAAGGTCATAATACTTACTTAGTAACAACAGTTGTGGATCTTTTTGAAAATAACCTGCTGAGATCTGAATATTACACTTATATGGTATGCATCTTAAAAATGTATTCTCAGAGAATTTCTTACCTTTGGGTTTTTTTCACCTGGATGTTGAAGCATATTACCTTTTATGTTTACATGATGTGCAAAACAATAAAATATAATATATTTCTGCTCTTTTTTGCAAGTGACAAAAACAGAAACTCCAGTTTATTACCAGTTTGAATCCAAAGACTGGAGTTTGGATTTGCATTGAGATTATTTTACAGTGGAAACATTTAAAGTTGGATTGTTTTTAAGGATTGATGCTGCCATCTAGTGTTGTAGTTGAGTTAATGTAAGCACACACTGTCAAAAGGATTGGCAGCTGCTATACAAATAAAGCTGTGTTGCCTCAAGTCATGCAATCACTTTACTTCACCACCAGGAGATATCTTTCTTTTGTTCAACTTGTTTCTTTCTGTGCCATAGTCTTTGCATCGTGAATGACCAGATGTTCATCCGGATGGCCACAACAGAGGAGATCCGGAGAGCCTTCGTCGCCCCCGCTCCCACTCCCTCGTCCAGCCCCGTGCCCATCCTCACTGCACCGCACCAGGAGATGCTCACAGCCTTCTCGCAGAAGTCTGGCATGAACCTGGAATGGTCCCAAAAGTAATCCTTGTTTATGTGCATGTAGTGTTTGCAATGTAATTACATTTTATTTACTCAATTCAACGTATATTAACACCTATTCTCTTTTGAAGGTGTCTGCAAGACAATAACTGGAGTTTCGACGTAGCTGGGCAGGTTTTCACTCAGTTAAAGGTAATATAATGGTTCATGGTACATCTCTCTGTTTTTCCATGTGTCTGGTCTTTTTTTATAGCAAGCACTGAAATGCTGTTTTTTTCTCTCTCCAGGCGGATGGCAAGATCCCTGATGTTGCGTTCATAAAATAAAGAGTTGAATCATAGTCCTGGGAAATAAAATCTGCAGTAATTTTATTTATGGCTTTTCTTATATCTTTTACATTTTCCCGTTATTTTCAACATTATGAAGATCAAGTTTACTGTTTTGTTGTAACAGCCAATTGTTTGACCTAAGGACTGATTTTATGATACCATTCCTGGTTGTCATTGTTTTTGGTCATTTGTATAGAAATCACTACATGTGTTCATAGGAATAAAGTCATGGCGAGTGATTTCACTTTTGTTCATGTTTTGTTGTATTATGTTTAACAACAATAAAATATTTTGTTACACAAGAAAGACAGCTAGATAAAGCAAGAAAAACTGAGTTTGACATTTCTTTCTTGTCTTTGAAAATGTTTCCCGGACTAGATATCCAGTAAATAGCATTGTCTTAAGCTTTTAATCACTTTTAATGTGCACCTTCAATATATCAAATTGGGCAATTAGCCGAGTACCACTCCTACATACTGTTGAACGTTTCTAAAATGAAAATGGCTATAAACTGGATATCATTTTGAGTGCAACTAAATATTTTATACATTAAGCTCCTTTTTGTATCAAATTACTTTTAGTTGCACACAGTGCCATTGATTGACACTAATCAAAAACAGCCAAAGGTATATGCATGGGGGAATAACAAAACAAAACTATATAAAAAAAAATATATATATATATATATGTGTTACTATAGCAAAGTAAGTTTTTTGAATGGATAGAGCAGAAATTCCAACTGGTACTCAAAGCCCTTCCATTTAATGAGAAATGGTTTAGTGTTGGAATAGATCTTAACTGTTTTGTATTAAACCTCTTTACTTTGAACAGACCTGGGACCAACAATTACCATAAACAATAAAATAATTCAAATAAAAGCAGACATTTTATTATTATAAGATGTTAAACAACTATATTTTAAGGCATAATGGCATTATGAAGCTTCCCAGCTACCATCAACTGCTCTGTTAATAAGTAGTAATCTTTACAGTCTATGGTAGTGATGTATTCGGAAAAGAAAAAAATTATTATATGCCTCGGGTTTTAGTGTCAATTTAAAAAAAAAGAAGATTGAGCTATAAATAAATCTAAAATATAATGAATCCAAATCATAATAAACGTTCATGTTGGAATAATACAAAATAAAATATATGTTTTAAAAAGGTTATTTTAGATATTTAAAAAATATACCTTACAAAGATGGCGCCCAGGTTACGTCGGGTGTCATCTTTCTTTTCCGGGTTCTGCGCTTCGTCACCGTGACGCACGTACGTTCACCATACCATCAGTTGGCGTAGGATAACAAACAACCCTGAAACAAGACATACGCAACAACGGGACCTGTCGCTCCGATTCGACACAAACACACCGAAAATACGAGTCGAGACAGCGGCAGGCAGTAGGAGTAACGTGTCGTCAAGTCGCAGGGGATTCTCGTAGATCCTGACACAAAGGATTTCCGAGTTGTTGTGTCAAGCCGTGAGGAGAGTTACGATCTACCCCTTCCTTAGCCCCCTGCAGCTAGCTGTGGCTCATTCCTTGTTTTTGCTCACTTTGTGTTAGTCTGTTATGCAGTTGCCAGAGGACTGTACTCGCACTGGTTCTCTTCCGCCACCTCTTTGCTCCCTTTCCCCGCTCTCTCTGGCCCTATGTCTCGCTGGCTTTTCCCCTGGTCAGGCTCAATCAAGAAGCGGGCCTGTCGGTACCTCTTACAGCACTACCTCGGCCACTTTCTGCAGGAAAGACTGAGCTTGGACCAGCTGGGTTTGGACCTGTACAACGGCAGCGGTGTCATCAAGGAAATCAACCTCGATGTCTGGGTGAGATTTTATTACAGATAGGTGGCTGTCAACCCCGCACCACATCAGCAGGCATCGTGTTTTTGTCGGGCTCATGCACCCTTGACTGTTTCGCAACTGCACTCGAGTTCAACAACAATCTGTAACGTCACTCTGAACCTAGCTCGCATTTCTTCGAGGAAACGCATTCATCAGAAACATATCACCAGATGCACTTCAAGTCTATCTAGTTTCTAACATTGAGAATGGATAGACCCCCCCTGCCATGTTTACTGTTCACTTCCTTTGCTTAAGTCTACATAAAGAGTGATAAGATGATATGGATTTCAGATTTATTTTCACTTTGTCTTTCTTATCACTGCTTCCTCTCTACCTCAGGCGGTCAATGAGCTTTTGGAGTCTCTTGGGGCTCCTCTGGAGATAGTGGATGGCTTTGTGAACACCATAACAGTGACCATACCCTGGCAAGCTCTCCTGACTGATCACTGCACTTTAGAGGTTTCTGGTCTCCAGATAACATGTCGACCCAAGTACAGGACCAGTAAGTTCACTGAGAAGCAACTTGTTGAGTCAACCTGTGACTCTTCTTTTGACACTAAATGTGCATCTGTTAGCCACATGTTGTTGCGTAAGGGGTTCTTCCAGGGATTGTCAAATCAAGTGTGGTCCAAAAGACTTACTTTGTCCATGTTTTTATTACTGTTTTCCCAAACCATTCTTGGTGTAGAGCTCTTGTTATGCAGCTGAGTATAAATAAGTGTCTCTTTGGTAAGATCTGTTATTTAGGTACATTACAAAGAAATGTAAACAACAGGATGTAAGTGATGATCCAAGAAAGATCATTGGACTTCAAGTCCAGACCTTTTTGTTCTTATAATCAAACCACTGACAACTACTCCAGTAATGTGTTGATAATAATATGCTGATATGAACTATATACATATACCTTTTTTTAATAAATTGTCAGAAAATAGAGAACAGACCTCAAAGTGGCATGATCAAATCAAAACATTCATAACCCCAACATAATCAATTAAAAGTCATATATGAAGAAGAGACCACTTCAAATCCTAACATTTGATTAATTGAAATCATTGTAATTTGCTTTAAGAAATACTTCACCCACAACATTATCATTCTTAGATATCAATTACTGACCTTGTTTTATCTTTCATTTATAAAGAAAAGATACATTCAAAGCTCTTGATTAATTGGTGGCCATGTTTCACAGCAATACCTCACTACTGTACTATTACTATTTTAAACAAAGCATCCCTTTGTTGCAGATAGGTTCAAAGTTCATGTACTGAATATTCTGATTTGTTTTAAATAGTAAGCTATAATTGAAAACATTTGTTTTAGATTTAGTATGCTTACAATAATTCATTAATAATTTTCGTTTACAAATTAAAATTAAATCATCGATTATTTCAATCATCTTTATTTAAAGAGACTCTTGGTCCATTTTTTTAAAAGACATACAACACTCAAATATAAATTAAAGAAGGCAGTTATACCAATGTTTCCACAGAGGTGACTGGTATCGTACAGCACTGAGACATGGATTTGAAAGCAGCATAATGACAATAACTAAATGTTATGCAATTTATTAATGTTAATTATAAAACATTATGTCCCATGGAGTTAACTTATGTTTGCAAACATGTCATTTACACTACTTCTCTGTCAAAGGCAAGACATCACTAAATCCCCATGTGGTTTGTTTGCAGGTGGGGGATGGGACTCTCAAGGCTGGTCATCAAGCATGACCTCCAGCATGCAGCTGGCTCAGGAGTGCCTGAAGGACCCCCCGGAGGCTTCAGAGGAGCCCCCGCCCCAGCTGGAGGGGCTGGAGATGTTTGCACAAACCATTGAGACAGGTAAGTCAAATCTGTGTGTTCCCAAACTCTGCGATGAAGCGAAGTCGTGAAAACCGACATCAAAGTTTCCCCACAGTGATAATGTCAATTGGTGGGAATATTCTTCAATTAAATAACCAATCTGAGCACACACAAGAAGAGCTTATTTAACAGTTCAGTGCTGATAAACCTTTGTCTGTCTCTCATCTCATCTGTGTTTCCAGTCCTTCGTCGTATTAAAGTCACCTTCATAGACACTATCGTTCGCATCGAGCACCAGCCCCTGGACCTGGAAACAGGCGTGGCCTTAGAGATGCACATCAAACGGTACGTCCTAGCTCCTTTTTCAACATTCAAATAAGCTGCAGAGAAGAAAACAAAACATGTTTTCATTATTTCACCTCCTTCATAATTTGTGTCCTTTTATTTTGTATTTTCAAATTCTTAATTGTCTATTTGTTAATACAACACAAACTCTTCCCCATTATTTCTCTGTTGGGTCACGATGTAGTGTTGGCCTTTTTGTAAAAGTGTTCTCATAAGTGGGCATTGTAAAGAAGACGGCCCTTCAGCCCTTGTTATTGGGGGAAACAGACATTGCCCTTTTGACAATAGAATATCAAAGAAGCTACTCGGGATGAACCTTTAAACTAGCACTTCCTAAATGATGGTGAAGTCCCGCAAGTGGCTGCTGGATTCTCTTTATTTGTTCAGTACCTGGTACGTCTAATGCCCGCCAGTCACAGTGCCGGTAGACAAAAAGCATAACTCCCAACACTGGCTGCAGCGCTAATTGTCAGCATTACTTCTAAATATTTCCCATCATACAAATAAGAGCTTCCAGATTCATATCCTCACAGCTTTGTAATGAATAAAGCATTTCCTGCCAGAGACAACACTTGAATAATTAATTGATAAACAAAATAGTTAGTGCTCAATTTTAAGTAAAAAAACATTAACTCGACTAATCCCTGCAGCTCTAGTTGACATTTGTTAAGAGGTTGTGTCAAACATGCAGTGAATTACATCACATTATTGGAAACATCTTTTATTTCTATAAATGATTGCATAAGTCATGATTTGGTTTTTAGTCATACTACCAGTTAACTAACTGGCGCAACATTTTCATCAATGTGAAGGTTACGGCCTCCCTAACATCCCATATTGACGACACCTTACGTTCAGCCTGCAGTCCTTTTGTAGCTACTGATAAAAGTCTCTTCAGGTGACTGGCGTTGTCAATACTGACCCTGTTTAAAATGTGCTTCACGCTGAGGCTGTTTGACAAGACAAGGCCAAGGAGTGCAAGTTCACGACTGAGCAGAGGCCTCTTCTCCTTATCTGCTGATGAGC